TGGTCAGCATGCCTGCATACAGCAACCTAAAACATTTGACGAGGCAATGGACAAGATGCAGTGGTTCCGCTGCATCAGCAAATCAGCAGGTGCCAGACATGCTCCGCAAAAACCAACCAAGTCAGCACCCCCAGTTAGGGCATATAAATGTGCATCGTATGAGTTCGACGAAAACGACCCTGGTTCCGAGGAAGAGGAAGAAGAAGATCTAAGGATAAGGAAAATGGAAGTGAGAAGGAAGCAGTCGACTCCCCAGCCTATCCTTAAAAGAGAAAGTGGCAACAAAACACCAGAGCCTACACAGGATGTAGGGATAGCAGAGTTGGCTAAGCAGATGTCACAGATGACAGGGGCTACATCAGCTTTGACCAAGCAGGTAGCTGCTTCTATCTCTGATCTTACTACAGAGATCAAGGGAATGTTCCGGGAGCTGGGACGACAGAGGAGCACATCTCCGAGTCGGCGAGCCTGCTATTTGTGTGGCGACGAGAAGCATTTTGCAAGAGAGTGCCCAACAAAGGACCTGAAGGGAAAAGAAACCAAGGTTCTTCGTTTCGAAGATGAGCTGCCAAAACCTCAAGGGACGAAGACGGAGGCCGGGTTTTCGCCCCAGTAGATTACGGCCAGGATGACTCACCGCATCTGTTGAGCCCCCCACTAGGCTACACGCCTATTGCCACAGTAAATAACCAACCGCACCAGGTTGTTAGCCATGCACATCAAAATACAGAAAAACCACATCGGGACACAACAGAGGCAGAATATCCGCATCGGGATATTATCAGCGAAGAAAGGGAAAATGCGATTTTCGAGATGGCAGAGGATGAATGCCCTGCCAATACGGAATTTGCAAAGACACCTACAGAGACAATAGAAGACATCGTCACCGTCAACCAAATCCAGTCAAGTGCAGTTTACCACGTACCAGTACAAATAGAGGACCAACATATCGAGGCAGTAATAGACACCGCGGCGGAATCTACCATACTGTCGGATCGTATTTTCAGTAAATTACATCCTAAACCAAAGGTACTCTCTAACATGTAATTTCGCATGGCTGGGAGAGACTTTACAATGAATGGGTACAAGATCGGCCCAGTGTCTTTCAGGATTGGCTCCACGGTACATCATGAAATAATACATGTCGCCCCAATTGAGGATGATATGTTGCTAGGGGTTGATTTCTTCAGGAGCCGAACTATGAAAATGGATATGGGGACAAATCTCATGATGCTGGGAGAGGACACAGTGTCTATTCAGTTTGGGAACAAACCCAGGGAAACTAGGGTCTCCCGAGTGATGGTAGGAAAGAGGAGAGTTATCCCTCCAAACTCTGTCACTGCGGTTGTTGGTCAGCTAGAAGGGACAATGCCGGACTATGTCCTAGAACCACTCCCAAACTCGCATCTTGTAATTCCAAGATCTGCACACCGCAGTAAAGCCAGGCCAACATTATATGTTGCCAACGTCACAAACAGCTTTGTGGTGTTGAAGCCTGGGCAGGCTGTAGGAGAAGCTGTGGAAGCTGATGCACTTCCCGAAATTCATGACACCGCTTCTGGGTCAGAAACAGACTCACAAGGAACCAGTGCCGCACATGCACCGGTAGGTGATCAACACATGCCAAACACTAGCTCCGCATTCGGGCTAGCTGATGACCCATGTGCGAATGTACCTGCACACCTGAGAGACATGCTGAAAAGGTCCAAGGGAGAACTTGCAGAAGAACAGTTCAGTCAGCTGAGAGATGTCATCTGTAACTTTTCTGACGTTTTTGCATCTCATATCTATGACATCGGGACAGTCAAAGAGATTGAACATGGCGTTGACACTAGAGACGTACCACCAATCAAGCAACGAATGAGAAGAACGCCAGTTCAGTTTGCTGGAGAGGAGGAGAAAGAGCTAGACAAAATGCTAGAGGCTGGAGTCATCCAACCTTCGGTCTCTGAATGGGCATCTCCGCCGGTTCTAGTTAGAAAGAGGGATGGTACAGTCCGCTTTTGCGTTGACTATAGGGCCCTCAATAACATAACTGTTAAGGACGTTTACCCTCTCCCACTGGTCGAGGACTGTGTTGACACACTATCGGGAAACCGTTGGTTCTCGAAACTTGATGCTATCTGGGGATACTGGCAGGTCAACTTGCGTAAAGAGGATCGCAAAAAGACGGCATTCATCACCAAATATGGCTTATTTGAGTTCACCAAAATGCCATTTGGCCTCTGCAATAGTCCTTCCACGTTTTCCAGAGTAATCAACCTAGTCCTCAGAGGCTTGAATTGGAAAACTGCCTTGGCATTCCTGGATGATATTGTAATCCTAGGAAGTAATTTCCAGGAACATCTCCACAATCTAGCTGAGGCACTAGAGCGCTTCAGACAGCACGGACTTAAACTCAAGCCCAAAAAGTGTGCCTTCTGTTCAAAAAAGGTGGAATTCTTGGGTAGAATTGTCAACGAAAACTCCATTGCAATCTCAGACGCAGATATAAGTGCAGTGAAGTCCTGATCAACACCTCAAAACACCAACGATGTCGAGCGATTCCTAGGCTTTGTGAATTACCACAGAGCCTTCATCCCCGACTATGCGGAACTTGCGGTTCCATTGTATGCCATCACAGGACGCAAAGAATTCCGTTGGGAGGAGGAGCAGGAGACAGCCTTCAATGCCCTAAGAGACAAGATGACGCAACCGCCTGTCCTTGCTCTGCCTAACGCGCACGATGAATTTATCCTGGACACTTATGCGTCGAACACAGCCATTGGTGGAGAGTTGATACAAGTCCAGGACGGCCAGGAAAGAGTTGTCGCCTATGCGAGTTACGCCTTAACTCCTGAGCAGAGACGCTACTGCACAACTCGTCAAGAACTACTAGCTATTGTGAGGCTCACACGCCAATTTCGACACCACCTTCTGGGGAAACCGTTCACTGTTCGCAGAGACCACAACAGCCTAACATGGCTGTTAAGGTTCAAGGAACCCCAAGGTCAACTGGCCCGGTGGATTGAGGAACTGAGCCAGTACAATATGACTCTTAAGCATCGTCGAGGGAGCCTTCATAGCAATGCTGATGCACTCTCGCGAACGGGAGATACATCAGATAGTCACTTCATCCACGGAGTAGAATTGAAGGATCTACCGTGTGGAGGGTGCTCATACTGCACTAAGGCCCACACGCAGTGGTCAAGCTTCATCGAGGAGGTAGACGATGTGGTGCCTATCTCCCGCTGCCAACAGGCCACTCTCTTCGCAGCGGAGGAGAGTAGTGACTTAGCCGCGTCCCGCGTCTGGGATCCTGGAGGCAAAATGCAACCAGAAACACCCACACTGGAAACAGTGATACACAGGTTTCCTGATGGTACAATAACCTCACAAGTGAATATCCTCTCAGAGGAGGGAACCAAGATCATGGTAGTAGAGTTAGGGGACAAGAAGGAAAGTGTCTGGGGTCTGTCAGCAGAAGAAATCGAACAGGAACAAATCAAGGACCCAGATCTTGGCATAGCTATCAGCTGGCTAAAGGAGAAAATTCAGCCTTCAGAGGGGAAGCTGTTTTCATCCAGTGCTGCAGCCAAGTTCTACTGGATTAACAGAGATCGTCTCCACTTGCGGAACAGCATTCTGTTCATTAAGGCTAAGGACAGCGACCAGGAATACTTAATCCTGCCACAAGGTTTAAGAGAGGCTGCCCTACGGTTACACCATGATTTACCATCTGCAGGCCATCAAGGAATCAAACGCACAAAATTCCGGGTGAAGGAGAAGTTCTACTGGTATGGTATGGGAACAGAAGTCGAAAGGTATGTCATGTCGTGTGAGACATGTAACCGGAACAAGAAACCGAACCGTAAGAACAGGCACAGGCTCATTGAGTACCACGCGGGTGTCCCCATGGAACGCGTTCACATCGACTTTATGGGCCCACTACCCAAGACCAAACAAGGGAATGAGAATATACTGGTGATGGTTGACCAGTTCACCAAATGGGTGGAGATTGTACCTCTACCATCACAGACAGCAGAAGTGACAGCCCAGGCAGCGGTCAACTCATTCTTTTCCAGGTTCGGTGTCCCATTGAACATATTTTCGGATCAAGGTCGAAACTTCGAGAGCGAACTGTTTTCTGCTCTCTGCCGTGTTCTACAAATCCACAAAAAGCGGACAACACCCTACAGGCCTTCTGCGAATGGCCAGGTAGAGCGGTACAACCGTACAATCATGGATGCCACCCGCTGCTTTGTCGGAAAGAGACAGGATGATTGGGATGTCTTCATACCTCAGTTAGCCGGAGCTATTAGAGCCACGGTGAACAGGAGCACCGGTCAGACTCCCAATCGGATGATGTTGGGACGGGAGATAAACATGCCAGCAGACCTGATGTTTTCATCCGCTACACCAGAGGAGGATCTGGGTGTCAGTCAGTACATCCCGAAGTTGGTCAAGTCACTCCAAGACAGTCATCAGATTGCCCGTGAGAACCTCAAGGAGAATCAACGAAAAATGAAAAGAAACTATGACCTGAGGATCCTGGAGAAACCTTACCAGGAAGGGGATCATGTGTATGTCTTGGATAATACGGCCATTAAGGGGAAGTGTAAAAAGTTGAGTGCCCCCTGGAAAGGCCCAGGAGTCATCAGGGAGAGAATAACACCCTATCTCTTCAGAGTGCAGATGAGAAACAAGGTCATGGTGGTGAACCATGACAGGATGAAGCTCTGCCGCGACAGGCAACTTCCGGCATGGATCATAAACTACAAAGCCCCTGACACTAACTCAGCAACTCCCAACAAAACACAAACCGACACCTACTGTGTATGCAAGCAACCCTGGGATGGGCGATTCATGATACAGTGTGATTATTGTGACACCTGGTATCATGGATCGTGCATCAACATAGCTCCATCGGATGCTCTGGACATCGACAAATATAAGTGTCTAGAATGCAAAGGTGTCCCCAAACTGTAAATAATGTCTTTGCTCTTTCTGATTTTTAGGACATGGCCGGCCTGCAGACTAGCCGGGCGACGCGGGACAAGCATACTTGTCTAGACATCGAGATTGCCACAAAATCCCGGAACCTCCTTGATGCAAGACAGCTAATGAGGAAACTCTACGCAGCGGGAGTAGCAGGGGATGAACTGAAGAGCTGCATCAGGATGCAAGTTGGCATTGCCAGGAGGAGAGAAGATACCAAGTGGCTCAGAGCAGCAGCCAAGGAAGCTGAGGTGTTTGTTGGGAAAAGTCTCCTTGACACTAACTGGGTGGACGCCAACATCTACTTTGTCCGACAAGTAACCCATACGGCGAGGAAACGGATGGACCTCACCCATGCGGAAGTCAGTAAATCCCTCGACCCCTCAGCAGGGACCCTCACAGTGGGCACCGTATCTGGGCCTCCTGTGAGAAGTCAGCTAACCGTGAGTGTGCCATGTACCGCATCCGGTACCAGCACAGTAGATACCGCATACGGTATCGAGAGACCTCGTTGGACCACCACAGTCAGTAACCCTAGCCGTCGTGTGCAACTCACTAGGGATACTATGGAGGTTTGTGTTTCTTCTCCATCAGAGAGTGAGGACGAGCGTCCGAAACGTCAGTGGTCCCAAGAAAGGAACCTCGTAATTTCCACAAGGACAGGTTCTCAGCACACGCGAGACACCTCACCGAGCCCCAGGGAGCCATGTGTGGAAATAAGGCCCAAGCCAGGTGAAGCGCAGACAGGGACTGTCGCAGCACCACAGGAAAAACACAGAGTACCGGACCGAGGAAGGCCCTCCTACCACAGGGAACAGCAGGGAGAACGGTCCAGAAAACGGGCCTATCCAAAATCATCAAGCAGTACAGACTGCCAGGCAACAAGCAGGCAACCAAGGCCACGCTGTGGGAAGAGAAGGCTCATGACATGCCAGTTCTCATGGTGCTCAGCCACAACCTTCTACATGAAGAAGCACGTAGAAGAAGACCACGCACCAGCTGTTTTCGACTATTACCAAGCCGAGAACGATGGGCTCGCTCGCACTCGAGTGGAATGCCTGAGGGAGATGGTGCATGAGGCACTTGGAGAGAGTAGGACCCTGCAGGACATGGTTGACCTCATCAACAACAGAGATGTCATCAAGCCGGGGTGGCACATCACACCAGAACAAAGGAGTGCCATGGTAGGAATGTGCCGAGTGGCAGGGTGGCCAGTGCCGGAGGAATTTTCCCTGCACCCCGTCAACAGTGTAGCAGCATTGTCTCACTGGAGGTGCTTACTGGTATTGGCAGGAGAAATATCGCCTCAAGGGATGTGGGAGCTTAGACGACGGTATCCATCTACCGGACTCCGCCGTTCTTCGGAGACATCCACTAGCATCCAAGCATCATTGGAGCAGATTCCTCCCAGCCCCAGACAGGAAGTCCTGCAGCAGGACGAAAAACAGATCCCGCATTCGGGATCCACAGGAAGTGCCCCATACAAGAAGGCGGAGAAGACCCTCATCCGCAGCTTCGATAGCCACTTCCATCTTGACAGATTGTCGGCCAGAGGTCCCAGGATTCCGTTGACTAATCTGGCGGCTATTGAACAGGCATTTCCCCAACAGCCAGACAAGGGCTATGCGACTCTGCTGTCGGGAGCCGTAGCGGTCTTCTGTGATCAAAAGACATTGCCTTCGGAGAAGGAAATGACGGCTCTGACCCAGCAAGGATTCACAGTGATGATCGGCGCTCATCCGAAGATAATCTTGACACGCAAGGAGAGACAAAGGGTGAAGTCCTTGAGCCAGCATCCTTCAGTCAGCGGACTAGGCGAGGTTGGTTTGGACCATTCGGTGACCTCTGACCTTTGGCACCTACAAGAGAGGCAACTCCGAGATCTCCTGACTGGCCTACCTCCGTCAAGAGTCCTGACTCTCCACATCCGCGGTATGCGAGACGACGTCACTGGAGTAGAGGCCTACATGCGATGCTTGGACGTCATAACACCGATCATCAAGGGAAGTCAGAAGATCCAGCTGCACTGTTTCTCCAGCACCACAGAGGTAGCCCAGCAGTGGCTGGAATCCTTCCCCAGTACCCACTTCAGCATAAGTAACATGGCGAACAGCTTCAACAGTCGACAGAGGGCTGCCCTGAAGTCAGTTCCAAGGAACAAGCTGCTTCTGGAGACCGATGCGCCTTACTTCCCCCCAGTTGGCAAGAAACTGAATGCCCCGTCTCTACTGGACTACACAGCTGAGTCGGTGGCCACCATTCTGGGAGACATCTCACCGGAAGTTCTTGAACTAACCGAAACAAACGCGAGGGCATTCTTCCACTGAAACAGGACATAGAACTCTCTCAGCCTTTGCCGCTGTATAGGGAGCAATATGAACCTCTACCAATGCTTTCCTTCATTTAGAAGGAATGGCACTTATTTAGTGTTGGGTTTTATATGTAGTGTTTTTCCATGTTTAGTATTTGTAATACGTGTAGTTTTCACTAACTTATGTTAAGAGCCCCCCACACCATCATCCAAAGAAGAAAAGTGGGAGGAGTGTAGTGCCAGTTGATATTTCACCCGTACTAATCAATGTATCAGAATTATGCGGTCACGTGACCGATGATCAATTTATCGTTTTTCGTGGGCGCCGCCATCTTAGAGCAGTCGTTGTTGTATGATAAACATTGTCACATGGTTGTTACCAAAACTCTTCCAGAACTTCTAGTGTTCTCGTGTTTCTGCACCAATCCGTCTCCTTTGCGTTCGAGACCCAAGTTGCCGGATCGGACTCAAGCCTGGGATTAACAGTAATCCTGCGGGCTTGTCTTTTTACGAGGAATTCGGACCCGTAAGAAGTGAAGTCGGCCGCGGCAAGCACCGTCTCGGTTCACGCTCCTGACGCACGTGCAGATACACCGTGAAGCACTACAGTACGTACACACACACGGCACGCACGGACAGTGGGAATGGTTCGCTGCATCGGACAACTGAAGGATGGACACACAAAGAGGTTTTTATCATCCAATTAAATCTTGGTTTATTTTCTACAAGACATAGAATTTCATCGTTCTTCTCTTGATAAATTATGCCGGATTTGTGGCTGTAGACTTGTTACACAAAGAAATGTAAAGAGTAACACTAAGCCTGTGTTGTGCAGCAACTACAGAAAAGAAATTCTGACTGCCTTCAATTTAAGTACGTGGGCTGATGAGACCGAGATACACCCTCAGTCTGTTTGCTACAGATGTGCAAGGTCATTAAGGTACATTTCATCAGGAAACAGAGACCCACCCTCCACAACCAGGATTGAAGTCATTTCTTGGCAGAAGCACCCAAGAGTAGGGGGATGTAAAGTATGCACGACACTGAACAGTTAGGGTCGGTCTTCTAAAAGGGTCTTTCTACAGTATTGGGTAATAGAGTGTGACATTTACCTCAAAACTGAAATTGCTTGGAGAAGATTTAAAGTCTCAAACATGAATTGAGGGTACAGTCACCTTTCCAGAAAAAGTAGCAAAAAGATAACTTTCTCTTGTACACTAAAAAAATCAAGGGTTTTATCGAATGCCTTTAAGGAGTATTACCTACGTAACGGGGACGGACACCTTGGTAGCCCCACCTTGGTATGTGTATTTATACAGTTTAAGTGATTACTGCAAATAATATCACCCTAAAAAATCCCCTACAAATTCCCTTTTGGCAAAAAAAAAAATGAAACACACTCTGAATCACTGTACTTTTCACATGGTCAATATATTGTTTTACCTTTTCATTGAAAGACAATGATTACATGCATGTAGTGTGTCATGCCAATAACTGAGTGTTTGGTGATCCATTACTGATTGCTTAATTTGTTGTTAGTCAAGTCCATCTGATTATGTGGCTCACATTCAAAAAGGGTATTCAGCATAAGCCCACAGTTACCCACGTAACATTGACGGACACAATAACAATGAATACAGACAACAGGTTTCTGACATAATTTCAAACACTTTATTCCAATTATTTAATTCCAAACAGTTCATAGACTCTATACATGGTGTGCCATGACAGTGGGCAGGTTTGGTTATTTAAATTCTGTAACAATGAAAGCACAAAGTGCCTACTGGCTTGTGTCACACCTGCCCACTGTCATGGCGCACCGTGGAAAGGGTCTATTTCAAACATGTAAAATCCAATCTTATGTATTTAATTTTAAACAGTTCATAGACTCTATACATGGTGTGCCATGACAGTGGCAGGTTTTATTTAAATTTTGTTACAGTGAAATCACAAAGTGCCTACTGGCTTGTGTCACTCCTGCCCACTGTCATGGCGCATCTTGGAAAGGGTCTATTTAAAGCATTAGAATCCAATCGCATGTATTTAATTTCAAACAGTTCATAGACTCTATACATGGTGTGCCATGACAGTGGCAGGCTTTATTTAAATTCTGTTACAGTGAAAGCACAAAGTGCCTACTGGCTTGTGTCACACCTGTCCACTGTCATGACGCACCGTGGAAAAGTCTATTTCAAACATGTAAAATTCAAACATTTAATTTGAAAGAAATTGCTTTCAAAATTTCAAGGAAGAGAACAACATTTGTCATTCACGCAATTTTTTCAATTAAAGCAACAAAAGTGCTTAAAATTTAAAGAGGATGCTTGACAACTAAACTGATGAAGTTTTAGCTCAGTGAATGCTGCACATCCCCAGGAAATCGAAATTTCCAAAAGTTGCCGAATCATGTTTGGAATTGCACCCGAAATCAGCGTCCAGTACACGTTCTCATCAGCTGATTGCAGGTCACGGCTGTTTCAGCGCTGTAAAAGTGCGCCCTCTGTTGGCCATCTGTGAACGGCCGATAATTTATGCATTATGACGTCATAATCACTGGGTGGGTTTGCGTTTGGGCGATGCGTCTTGCGTTTGAATTCTGGGGAGGGTAACAACGTGATCACCTGACCTCCTAGGGTTTGCATAAATTATGTAAATAGGCCATTTAACAAAAGAAACTCATGATTTATTCATAACATGTTGGCTGGTGTCCGTGGTTTGAGGAATAAACAATTTAAGTGGTCTTGCGAAATACCAGCGATTCGAACGAAAACCGTTAAATTTGGCGCTAGCGTTCCTCGACCTTCACAAAAAGGGCAAATGATTCCTCGACTCCGGTGGATTCATGGGAAATGTTATCACTAGTCGACTCTTCGAGGCTTATTAAACACCTATCAAAAACTGTTCAGTCTTTTGAGCATGTTCTGAGATTTTCAGTACCCCAGGGCTCTGTAATAGGCCCACAGTGCTTCACTATGTACACCCATCCAGTTGGTGATATCATCAGAGAACACAATGTCAATTTTCACGTTTATGCAGACGATACCCAGCTCTATACAGAATTTGATCCAAAGGTTGCCGGTGATTTTGATCGTGCATTAACCATGCTTTCCACTTGTATTTCTCGGATCAATAATTGGATGGTTCATAACAGGTTACAACTTAATCAAGACAAAACCGAATTCTTCGTGTTTGCTTCCCCGAAGGTCGTTAACACATTACCACATCTGCAGTTAAAACTTGGTGACATCTGCATTAATCCATCTACCACTGTGAAGAATCTTGGGGTCATACTTGACTCTGCACTAACTATGACCAATCACATTAATACAATTTGTAGAAGTGTTAATTTCCATATTCGTAATCTGTGGCGGATTCGGCGGTTCCTCACTCAAGATGCATGCCATAGTGCTGTCAGATCTTTGGTCCTTTCTCGTATTGACTATGCCAACACACTGATGTACGGTGCCAGGGAAGTCGATATTAGACGTGTACAGCGTCTTCAAAACAAAGCTACGCGTCTTGTATTTTCATGCGGTAGAGAAAGCTCATCAGGTCACTTACTCCGCTTACTTCACTGGCTCCCCGTCAAAGAAAGGATCATGTTCAAAATTATGTTGTACGTATATAAATCTTCCCATGGTCAATCCCCAAGTTACATCACTGATAGCCTCACCCTGTACAACTTGAATGGATCTGAAGATCGCAGGAGACTCCGCTCTTCTTCTGATGTCACCCGGCTGGTTGTTCCTCGTTCCAACAAGAAGGCGGGTGACAATTCATTCTCTGTTGTTGCCCCTAAATTGTGGAATCAACTACCGGTTGACATCAGGGAAGCTGCGTCTACAGCGATCTTCAAGCGCCTACTCAAAACACACTTATTTTCCAATGTATAATAGTTGTTTTTTTTGTTTTTTTTGTTTTGTTTTGTTTTTTTTTGTTTGGATATGATTTCTTTGTAATTTTCAGTAACTGTTTAAGCTCTTTGTTGTGAGGCGCTGTGATCGTTGTAGAGCGCCATATAAATGCTTGGTATTATTATTATTATTAAATCATAGCTTTCCTGGGCCGTTGCGATTTGCGTGGCAAAAAGCTGCTGAAAATACAAGTATGGGGGTAGGCTACCACGCGATGACGGCCCATGTGCACTGCACTACGGGCAGTACATGTACATTTACATGTACGTGTACGTACAAATTGTGTAGGCCTACATGTACATGCACACGTACATGTACATGTACATGTACATCGCGTGCAGTGCCATGCCGTGCACATGCATTGTGGACAACTCAGCAGCCGCGTGCCTTCGCCCTGTTTTTTCAAGGTAAGTTCAGTTAATTAAGTTTTAATTTTCATTCATGAAATGATGAAATGATCATTATAATAATGGTGACTAGCTTGTTGAGTCTATGGCCTATGCTGTGACTGTCTGTAATTTAAATTTTGCATGCATGCCATGATGGATGTTTATTATTTGAATATGGTCAGATGGTCGTGACATGACACATGCCATCACATGATCACATAATCACATACAATGTACATCATGTGCGTGAACGTACATGTAGGCCTATGTACATGTACATGTTTGAAAAATATGAAAACAGGAATTTTACCGGATTAGATGTTATTGTTAAATAACACATGGGCCTATGTCCTGTACGTAAGTTAATGTCACAGTCATTACTATAAAAAATACTAAACTGATCTGATGTGATCATGCTGGAACTGGAAGGGACGTTAAACAAAGTTTATCCTTGACCATGTTGACACTCACCATGCTCACTGCTTGATGCAAATGGTGAGTGCGTAGAAAGAGGTGTTTTAAAAAAGTGTCTGTCGAGTGTCAATACATTGTTACTGTTAGCAGCCATAATAGCATGACTAAGCTACCTTACTGTAAATTCTTTTGCTGCACCATGACACGGATTTAGCCAAATAAATTATAAAACTTAAAAGAACAGACATGAACGGTCATTGATGGTTTATGGAAATCTTAATTTTAACAAAATGTAAATACTCCATCAACAATATAATTATATACATTTATATACATCATTATACATGTACATTATGCACGAACGTTTCATGTTATTCATTCGCAGGATTGGACTATGACATCTACAGGAAAATTGGGAAATGGCACTGCTCAAGCCAATTACAAACATGTACCGATATAATTATAAACAATTATCATACATTATACAATGAGTTTATAGCATGAGCATTTCATGTTACTCATGCCTAGGTTGAACCTGTATGACACCTACAGGACAAATTGGAAAACGGCGTTGCTCAAACCAATGACCAATATAATTAGACACATTCATGACATTAGTAGCATGATTGTTATTCATGCCTAGGATTGAACCTGTATGACACCTACAGGAAAATTGGGAAACAGCGCTGCTCAAACCAATTTCTGTGAACCGATCAAAAACAGAATTGGCTTTCAATTCGTGCATTTTTTTGTACTACTTTGAGAAGTGACCAAATTTAGCAACAAGAAAAGACAAGGCATCAAAATCTGTGACTTTTGTGTATGGCAATTATCACCTTGTTGCCAAACATGTACATGTACATTTTATTTACTTAAATGAAGGACACTTTTTTCTGTTATATGATTTCTTTTCCAATTTTTCACGATACTTCAGGACAGGTCGAGACATGATGTCGTCGCATGACTGCCATGAGCCTGTCCTAGTCATCCCGCATCCCTTGAACCACTCGGCCGATTCTGTTGAATTCTGCATGAATGAGCTCTCCGCCTTGTTCATTGAGCAAGCCAAGCCCCACACGAAAGCGTTGTAGCTGATCCACAGCATGGTCTTCAAGCAGGTGGAGCTTGGGAGTGATTCTTTCCTCCGGGAAAAGCTGGCGGTAGGTCCTCAAGAGTTCCCGAATACTTACATCTGTGGGCATGAAATGCAACATGTATTGCGTGTGTGTGTGTTTTTCCCATACATACGTGTACATTTTACATCTCTTTTTAAGCTGAAGTGTGCACTTACCTATGCGGAGAACATCTTGGTCAGTCAAAGCAAGGGCATGGTTAATGCCCTTATGGACATCTGCAAATTTCAGAAAAACTTCTCGAAAATGTGCACGGTGTTGGAACGCCTGCCGTCTGAGTCGTTCTTGAGCAGTAAGGGACATATCGTCTGTCAGCTGTCTCTCAAGCTCTTCCGGGGGGACTTTAGTGAGGGCGTCAATTAGCTTTGGCTGCAACGTGAGAAAATACTTTTTAGCCATGGAGTTTTTTGTTCCTTGATCTAAATTTGTTTTAATGCATGTATTGTTACTCTTACCTCACAGCATTTGTTGACATGGTTACCCACGAAAGCTTTCCCATGGTACGCTTGTCGCTGAACTTTGTGGTCATGGAGGACTCTGTCAAGGGCACTAGCAATGGGACCAGTTGCGTAGGTAAGTTTCGCTGACAGAGCGTCTTGTTCCTGAAATGTTGGTAGCCAAAAAGTGCATTTTTATGAAGTATTATAGTTTTAAATCATGCACAGGAACTAAAATGATTGTCATAGGACTGCTGAAAAAAATTGTATTAATTACCAAGTCTCTGATGTCTGCTCGCAGTTTAAAAACAGATGTAGCTGTATCACGGAAAGCTTCATCCATCTTGTCACAGTTGTTCCTCAGGGCATAGAGGGGGAGTTCTTCCTCGGCTTGTTCCAGAGCGGCCCGCTTTTCAGTAAGATCTTGCTGAATCTTGTTCTGCCTTTGTATTTCCGCAGCTATCTGGTCATCAAAGTTGGTTCCTTCTTCATGATCTTGAGACGTGACCCGTAGCTGGAACAACTTGACATCGAGATCATGGCAGATCGAACAGCTTTTTGTACACGCCCAGAGAAATATGCAAGGTAGGGATTATGACCTGAAACAGAAAGAGTTAGAACTGGTTTGGTGTTTACGTCATTTACATGCATACATGTACATGTATTTAGATTTGTTTCGTAGCACTTTGAAATTGAGCACAAACTTTTATTGCAATACATTTATGTACATGCTATTTTTACATAGGCGGGTTAACTTTATTACATATTGTAATTGTATCTGAGTGACTAACATGGCCACTTAACACATGGCTCTCATGTACATGTATTTATATTAGCAGTATTAATTCACTTACATGGTCAGTCTCAATGGGTATTAAGGAGGGGTTCACAATGCTGTATGAAACATCTTTGGCCCGTGATGGTCGTGCTCCATCCTCCAGGAATAGCTGGTGATGCTCTCTGATGTTTTGGAGGTTACGAGGCAAGTATGGGCCTCGCTCTGCGATGGGCAGTTGCATTGTCTTCTTGCTTGCCAAACAGTAAACACTGCAGTAACGGGCTGAAAGCAGAAACAAAATTGTTGTTGGCATTCAATTCTTTTTTAAGCTAAAACTTGTTTTTCAGTTTGTGTTTTCAAAGGAGTGAATAAGGCAAAAACTAAGTACAGTATGACTTCACACAGGGTCTGGTCTAGCCATTAATAACTTTATCCTCAGCTTTAAATAAAAATTTCCCCCCCTCCACTTTTAGGTTGTGCATGAGATGGGTCACCAACAACCTTCTATCAAAACATAAAGGCCGTTCTTGCTGAACAAGAAGAAAGGAAGAACAAATCAGGTGAGTTAAAAGCCTTACCATTACACCCACATATTCCATACACCTTGTTCAGTAGTTCGTAATCCCCAAAGAGGAACACACGTAGGGACCTTCCACTGAAATAAAACATGTGAATTTTAATCAATTTTGTCATCAATACCATGGTGTTTGAGTTGCTTTAATAACATAATCATTCCTGCTTGTGTTGTCTTTCAATCTAAACAAAAACAAACAGGAAATGAAAAAAAAGTGTACAGGGATTAGACACCTGAAAAGACTTACCGCCACTTCAATGTGGACAGCACTGAAAGCTGCTCAAATATTGGGAGAAGTGCTCTCCTTATGTTGGCCATCGAGTCGGTGGCTTCAACACAGGAAAACACAACGGTGTTTTTTATGGAGTTGGGATGGGCTACATTCACAATTTGGAAATCCATTTTAAACGAGTTTCCTCCCTTGTCTCCGCCGACCTTAATCCATATTTCGTTGGCTGGGATGACCCCATTGTGCCATGTCAGGGTACCTTGCCTGGAGTGGGAGAAAAGAAAAAAATGTGGACGCAAGACGTGGGTTTATTTAAAGTGCAACTGTCTCTACAATATACCATTTACAACATGAAATTCTAAAAGTTATATGAAGATACATTATCTTACTGGTCATGGCGGTCCAGGTAGTCCAGAATCATTGCTCCGATGTCCTTGACATACACAAATGGTGTTTCCTTGAGCTTCATGCCATTGATCCCATCGGCTGCATTTGTGTTGAAAAAGAGCTTGATCGTTTCGCCAGCTAGATTATCCTTGAGTAGCATTTTCTGAGTCTTGCACATGGCCCGCTCTGAAGGAATGTTTGCTCCACTCATGTACCTGTTGTAAATTAGTAAAGTGTTTGTATGTTCAAATAATTATTATTCAAATGTTTTATTTTTTTCCCCCAAAGATTTCCTGCAGTTATACCTTCTGAGTTTCCGTAGCTGATTCCACGCAAGGCTGCAGTCACGCATCATTGCCATAGATTTCTCCGTCGTCATTCCAGAAGATGCCAGACACTTTGAGGATTTGTCATCACTACGTTGGGACATCACGACTCGTTGGATATAGGTTGGCTGAGAAAATTAATCAAACCAAGGATGAATCTGGATGTGCATGTACTCAGTCCAAACACATACAATGTACAAGGCCAGGTCAAGCAAAACAAAACTTTTGAATCATCAGTCAAGCAAAACTGAATCTAAAAAAATAGTGACTCTAGGGCAAAATGTTTGGCCCAAATGCACTCTGGAATGTGTGATCTTTTTCACAAAATGATTGGTTCAACTCTCGTGATACTGGCTGGAGAAACTTCTGAGAAAAGAAATCATGTCAACCTTGTATTTGAAACCAACCCCCCCCCCCCCCCCTCCAAAAAAAAAAAAAAATTTGAATCTTCCACCTACATGTATGTACATGTATCCCATTTTAATTCAGTGTTTCATGTAAATGTTGTCGGGCTTGGTTCACAAGAAATTTTGTTCCAAAAAAATTAAAATGAGTTTAGTGAGCCAGATGATAAAGATTCTTTGTGAAATTTGTACTGAAAAAAAACCCCGAAAAATACCTTTATTTTGTGGTTAATGTATAAAGTATTTTATGAAGAAAGAACATTTAAGTCTAACTTACCCGTCCACCTGTTTTGATTGTGACCAGAGATTTATCTTGTTTTAGTTTGTGGCACATCCATTTATCGGTAGCTTCTTCGACTTCAGATGGTATTTGTGTGCCAACTTTGTGATTAGAAGCCAGCTCTTTATTTCCTTGCTGCATTTGTAATCTGAGCAGCTTTATCATCTTGGGGAAGTAGGGAAGACTTGGGTGCTTCCACTATGGTTACTTTGTGGTCTGGGGTACTGTTCAGTGAACAGTCATGATCTACAAGTTGGGACAGTTTGCCAATTTGTGTGCAGTTATTGCAAATCACTGTCAGGTTGTCAAGCTGTACATTTAAGATACGGGGAATTTTTGTAACCTCTTGAAGTGCAAAGTCTGTTTACATGTAGGACAGTTAATTTGATGACACGATGCAAACTGGAAGCATTTACTGAGGCAGGTTGAACAAAACACATGTTCACATGGTGTCTGCACCGCTGGTCGGCTGATTATGCATTGGCATATTACACAGATAAACAAAAATTCCTCTCCTCGATGGCAAAGAATGTCAATGCTTGGAGGCACTATACATGACAATGTTTGTGAAGGCAACTCAGTAAAGATGTTGTCCTTTCCTTGAAAGCAAAGCGCTGAGTCTGTACTCTTCACTTGTCTGCTGGAGTCACATTTAGGTTTATAGGAGCCTCCGCCTCTGCCTTGTTGTGGTACTAATTTACAAACAAAGCACTTGCCTGTCCGGGAATGTTTTGGCCATTCGCTTTGCACAGTTTGTCGTCTTTTTATGTTACTCACACTGTAGGTCCTTTCTCCAGAAATGTAGTGCCTAATTTTCCTTGCGCATTTCTCGCACAGTTTTTGTGGATGCTGATCAGGTGTGTCCTCCCAAGTACTTACTCCAAACACATTGAAAATTTCCTTGTTTACATTCGCACAAAATACTGGCTTCCTAGTTGAAACTGTAGATCCTGGATGTAATCTATTTGTGCAAATTCTACATATTTTTTCTAACGATGCCTCGTGAAATTTAAAACTCATGCTGATGTAAATAAAATACCATTTTGAAAGACACGGACTCTACGGTCTTCAGTGTTTTTATTGTGTTGCGTGAGTGAAAGTTGTATTTTTGTATAGCGCGCCAGCAGCGCCACACATACTGGTTCCCCGCGCAATGCACATTAAGCAAATACATAAGCAGTGAACCCACGAAGTTGACGATGAAGTGAAGAATGAAAATAACCGCGCATTTGACGATGTTTATCGTCTGATTTTTAAAGAATAGATTGCGGCCCAGAAATAGAACAATAAATATCGACGGTAGTTTAATAACACTTTGCAAACAGTAAATGCCAAAAAAAAAATGAAAACATTTGCAATAACCAAACTGTAATATTTTGGATTGAAAGAAATACCTTAAGCACTTGCGGGTTATTCACGAAGCCCCCTTAAATCTGCGTGTGCCCGTTAACCACCCGTAAATTTGCGGGAACTCCAGACGTCCCGCAAGCACACCACAATTTGCGTGGATCATCTCGATTGTCACAATGGCGGCACTCTTGGCATGTATTTTGGATTTACGAACTGAATCGACGTGCCGGTTCATCTTCCATGACCGGTTGAACCAACTATAGGATGAGTTAAAAAGAAAGTGACCGAATTTGGAAAATGTGTTCAAAATATTTGGCGCGTTCCATTTTCATGGGCGTTAATCGGTGGGGGACAAGTCCTCCCCCACTTTTTTTTTTAAGTGGCGGATAACATATCTTTGCCCCCCCCCCCCCACTTTTTCTATCCCCGAATAAAAATTGTAGCCTACATAATGATTCTATAGTAGCTGATTCAATGACTCCAAACTCAAAAAATGATATTTAAAAGATTATCTTTTGCTCACAAAAGTGGTTTGAGTGCTCAGAAATTGCCTCAGATCGCACCACAGAGCAAGCATCTAGAATCCAAAAAAATTCGGGGCCCGCTCCATGCCGTAATAGGTATGTCCTCCACTTTTGGGAAGCGACTGCCACTCTTGTTTTTTTTATGGGACGAAGTACATCTTATGGGATTTTAAGTGTGAACATTTCACTTAAATTGCACAGTCTAATCCTTAGTTATTTCTATTTCAATAAAACGATCACAAACTTGTTTACCACTCATCACGTGATGCAAACTGAACACCCATTGAGTATAATGAAACGTAGACTTTCCCACCTCCACTGAATGAACGAGAGGATGGGAAAGGATACAAAAATCACCATCAATAAAAAAAAAAATAGAGCTAACTTGTTTCTTATATATTGAAAGCACACATTCTGACAGTGGTTTCTGTCTTGAGTTCAATTATTAAAGGGAACCTGCAAAAAGATTTGTATGACTTAAATAGATTTAAAACAACTTTCTTGCCATGTTACTATGACTTTCAACCTTCTTTTGTAGTAGTAAAAGGGGGAAATTTCAACATTTCAATTTTTTATGCTATTGAAAATTTCCATATTCATGAGCCACAGCGTGATGTCATTCAAAGCAGAACAAAAGTGTCTCTACAGCTTTGTGCACAAATATCTATCAAACTTTTCTTTATTTTCTTGCAGTAAGTTCCACTTTTTACTTGCTTATCATGTTAAACAGCTTGTTTGGACACTAGCAGTTGCCACTATTTTTTTCGAAGCTTTTTTTGTGGGTAACTTTGAAGGAATTATGTTTGTACTGTTCATATGCACTTTAAATAAGGAGTTTCTTGTGCGACAAAAGCAAAATGGCGCCCATTACATGCGATTGTAATGATGAAAGGATTTGCTAACAATTGAAAAACTACCACTTTCTTGTCACTTCCAACGAAAACAAGTATTTCGATCTTGTATGTATTGTTGTGACACATAATAATGTGCTAGAGAACAAGATGAGCTGAATTTCCACTGCATGTTTCCTTTTAAGTCTTGTTGGCATTTTAAAGTTTGTCTGTAATATGATTCTCACTAAACTCAATAGCTTCCAATGACATTCAAGGACAGCTATAAAAATGGGCTACGTTTGTAACACATGCATAACTTCTGAAAGCATTGGTAAATTTAAGTGAATCTTTTTTTTTTCTTTAAATGAGTGGAAGAACATGCTCTTAAAGACATGCTTAATTGGTGTTGATTGTTTGCTAAGAAAGCAAAGACAAGTTAATCTTTAATCGACTCTGCCTGTGATTTTTACAACGAGCAAGAACTCTGAAATGGGATAAAATGTCTTGGCATGTTTTTTTTTTTTTATGTTCAACCAATTAGTTGCGAGTGCCCGCAACATGCGGGTCCACTAAGGGAACTCTAAGGGTGCTTCGTGAATATCACTTAACGCAAGTCTTACGTGCCCCTAACATCCACTTACGGGTCCCCGCAACGCAAACATTTACGGGTGCTTTGTGAATAAGCACCATAGCTGCCAACATTTCAAAATCCCAATTAGTAATCAACCCGCGCGGTCACCTCTCGTTTTATCAAAAGCTTTTACAACATCGAGTACAGGTACATGGTTTACATGTACACATACATGTGCATACCCTTCTTGTTGTGGATAATAATGTACTGTAGGCCAAAAGATAATTTAAAAAAAAAACAAATTAAAAAAGTTGAAGTCAAATAAATTATTACATGAATAACATGTGCGCATATTTTTTTGGAGTTCGTATCATGTTTTTACACACAATGATCTATGGCCACCGTATGCAATAGAAATATGCCGCCAACATACCTTGCAAACGCATGCTGATTTATCTTTTCTGTCTGTTGTGACAAACTCAAACTCTATTACCAAGTATTCCAACCATACTCTTATTAAATTCCATGATTAAAATCTCGCACTAATGGGTCTCATCCCGGTAATAAGCGACTAAATGTGCTCACCATCGTCACTGAAAAGAAAATCACATACAGTACACACAACCACACATCCACGAGATGCACACAAATGACACACCATTGAAAAATAGTTTTAGTCTGGTCCTCAAGTACTCAACTGCGCACACTGCATTGATGTCTATCAGGTGCTTGACTGCATTCTTATTAGACTTGTCACCAGTCCATCCATTATCGCGACATTTCGCCAGAAGTTTTCGGTCAAAAACGATACTTTACTTTTTTCTTTTTTTTCGTTAGGTAGAAAATGGGAAATTCGTAATGTTTTAGTGGCAAATCGTATTTTCGTAAATTAACAAACAATTCGTAATAATTACGAAAAAAATCGTACTAGTTGGCAGCTATGAAGCACCCTGGTCCTCATGCAAGTCCTCATCGGGTTTCTGTTTCAGTTCAGAAATATTTTCTGGAAATTTAGGGAGCTAGAGTAAAACAAAAATCAGTAACGATTCAGTAATATTATATGTAATCAACAGCATTAAAGTTCACGTATAAACGTCAAAGACCTGTAAGAATTTAGGTTTGAAGAAGTAAAACAAGTACCTTTCGTCTGAAGAGTCACTTGCTGCCACGAGTCTACGTAGTCCTTGTGGACACATTCTTTCTTTGTTGTACAGCCAGAACAGTAGCATGACAGCTTTCGAGTGACGATGATCCCTGCCGACACAGTTCTGATGCTGTGTAGTTTCAAAGTACCATTGACTGTCTTCACTTGCCGTGAGGGTCTGTTTCTGTTTAAATCCCCCTTGTCAACATAAACGAAGCTACGCCTGAAGTGACGACACTGATCTGAGGTGTCTGAAGAACCCTTAGAAAGATGACCATGACAGTAATCATAAAAGCTTCGGGCATCGGTTATGACTACTTCCTCTGAAGTTACAGCCAGTTACAACAAAATTACCCAGGGTAAGTATTTCTTGCGTGTTTTGATGCGCCCGTGTTTATGTCCGTATCATGTTACGAGGAGTAATGACGCACTAGTTGTAGTGTCTGTCTTTTGTGTCATTATCTTGTTTCGTTTTCTTTTGGTTTCGCCTTCCTTCAAACACTGAAGTGTGACGATACTTGAAGTAAAGGCCATTATTTCCTGTCACTGGAAACAAATTTGACCTGCCTCTGTGTTCTTGAAACGCTGTTATAAATCTTTTTCACGTGACCCTCGTAACATCATTACCCACGTAATTCTGGTGACGGAATACCAAACATGAAACATCCGTCTGGAAGTTGGAAAGATTTTTCGGAACACCGAGTCTGAAACTCATCTCAGCGAGTGGAGAATGCCATGACTCGTCAACCGGGGATCTATCTAATTCTGAGTTCGCGCACGTGAGTGCGATTATCCACGTAACGTATTGACGGACAATTGGAGCTGAGATTTCGTCGGCCGTTTTGAGAAACTTCTCCACAGAAACATTCGCTGTTATGATATGTGCCTCACACAAGATAATAAAGCTATAAAACAGTCATTACCAAGTGGGGAAACAAGGCTTCAATTTTCAGACCTGGCAAGGGATTACCCACGTAACAATTTGACGGACACAGTTACGTGGATAATGGCTCACCTGACAGTTCGCGTGTATTTACAAGCGAGCTCGCAGCGGTTGCATCTTATATTAATTATGTGGGGGGAAACTCCAACTCTTCGTACACCGTCAATTTAATTTAAAGGCCCATGCTCGTGGGTTCCTTTTGGTCCCACTTTTTAAATAGCGCCATCAAGCAACTCTAGTGAAATTTAAGTGGAAAACATGCTGCTGTGGTAGTCCCAGGAGCCCTAGCCACAAGTTAATGACTGCCTGGGGCATTGGGTCTGGTCAGCCATGATGATGGTTTTACGACCTTCTATTCAATCCCCTGGGTAAAACAAGCAAGAGCACAGCCACTTGGTGCATGTACACGTACAGTACATGTACATGTACATATGTATATGTACATGGTTGAACTGTTGTATTTGTATGGCCTACCACGGTACTACCGGTATGCCAACAACTTCGAAGACAAAACTACAATTGGTTTAGAGGGACTGAAATATATTAGACATAATTGTTGGAGTACAAGAATAAAAATCTGTTTCTTCTCATGAATAGATACATGTATTTGTGTGTCTGTGAATGTGTATTTCCATGTTTACATATTCTCCTGTCATTTGCGCATGGTTTTTTGTGACTGTTGTAGAAAGGAAGTTCAAAAGTTGGATTGCGTGCAAATTTCAACCCCCCCCCCCCAATTAAAAGAGAAAGACTGTGGTAATAGGCCTCCACAAATGATGCAAGTACACAAAAACTTTCAGTGACTGCATAATTATTGCATGCTTTGTCATAGACTGTACATGTACTTCCTCACAGTAGAATACTCTCACCCCCACAACAGATGTTCCACGTCAAAGTCTCACTCTTTTCTGGTCGGAAACCCCCGACATACCAACATTGTGATTTCACCCTTGTGCAGGGACAAATAATTTCAAGGGTACTCTCCCAGACTGACCATGACGTCAGTCTACGTTTACTTAGAAATGATGTCATTATACTGCTATGTTTTTCTAATTAAAAGTATTTTTCAATGCCTTCCATGAAAACATAGTATACAATGTATGAACTCGCACCGGTGTGCATTCATTTCTCTGTTCAACTGTTCATCGGCCACAACTGTACCAGAGCACCAATATATGCATGGTCAATGACACAAGTTTATTCATTGATGACCATGGAAAACATTTCTGATGATTGTATGGATATTGATGAAGAGTTGCTTGGTAACCCGTACCTCGGTGAGCCCACTACATGCTCATGTAAAAATACTTGTCAGCGAGGGCGGCTGGGGACACGAGGGGCTTGCCCTTGCAAGTGTGCCGAGCAACACTGCACCGATGCATGTACCTGTGGCACCAAGAAGCGGCCATGCTGCAACAGAAATCTTGTAAGTTTGGCGGGGACATTGTGTTTGTTATTATTAATTTCAGAAACCCTTCCTAATAGTATTTTTGAATTGATACAATCATTTAATTCTTCTTAACCTGTCTATTAGTGCCGTTATTTTCCGAAGGCCTGGGCCCAAGATGAAGGAACAAGCAATATTTTCAATTTCGTGTTTGCCTTTATACTTGCATGTACTTTGTTAATTATTATAAACCACTTTTGTGACGAAAACGTGACAAACAAAGCGGGAAATAAGAACATGTATTGGAGCCACATAGTGTAGCCTCATTCAAAGCTGTTTTTTTTTTAATTTATGCACCAGGATTCAGAGTCCGACACCGACAGTGATGTGGAAGACGAAAACTTAAAACGTAGTCGAGATGGTCAGCCCAACACAGCTCCTACACATTCTGTGGATGATGAAATCAAGGTGACTATTTCAATATTGTACTTATGGATTTGTTTTTATATTGCTGTCGTAATAATTTCCTTGCTATTAATTTCTATAAATTCATCAGATTTACTGAAGACAGTTCCAGTGTATTTTTTTTTGGCAGGCTAGTGTCCGGTCTGTTTACTCTAGGCCTACATATACATGTGCTTATTCTTGAAAACCGGTCCTCAAAGTGGGTATCCTCAATTTGTTTCTTTCTTTTTGGAAAAAAAGTGAGTTGCACACATGAGATCCGTTTGGAATTGTACATTTACGTCATATTTCCCCTTTAAAATTATCAAATGTTCCATCCACTTCTGGATATTGAATAGCAAGGGCCATGGATGTTATGGCATCAAAATTGTACTTTTTACAATAAATTAAATAGGCCTCGACAGAAGAAAGATGTTTGGATCTTTAATAATACATGTATTTCATGTTTCTACTGTGATTCTAGACATATCTTACTCGGCTCTCGAGGCCTGACCTGGAACAAGTCACTGCAGAACTGTTCCGTAGGCAGCCAGCGGCGTATGCCGATTTCATTTTACAATCGCATCATCCACCAGGAGCTCAACCCTCTGCAAGCTCAGGATCAGCAAGCCGCACACCACCACGGCAAAAACCAGCCACCTCACCACCAGTTCACCCCCATACGCCCATCCCTCCATCACCATCCTTAGGACCAGGAAGCCCACCTCCACCCAGTCCGCCACCGCCCAGCCCGCCACCGCCCAGCCCACCACCGCCCAGCCCACCACCGCCCAGCCCTCGAAATAACCAGCCAAGGTGGTGCAAGTGTGGCAGCTGCTGGGAAATGGCCACACCCAATGAAAATAAATGTTGCACCCGAAGGGCAAACCAGTGTATAACACACACAAGGCTTTTTTAACAATCTTGTGTTGGATGGCCACGTTTTAGATATAGCCCTACTATACCGGGCCGATGTGATGGCTGCAAACGAGCAAAGGAACAATGACAACTTCCGTCATGCTGCCTACAGGCAATATATATTATGGCAGCATGGTCGTCTAGGTGCAGGGAACAGAAGGGTTATTCCTTCTTGTGTTGTAAGGGCGATACGGGACAGGTACCCATCACCTAACGGGCACTATACCGGTTTCAGACCAGGTCGCTTGTGATTCAAGACAAGTTTTTTTATGATACTATCCTTTAGTATGCTAAGAGCAAATTTTGATTAACTTTGCTTGACCAACAGTTTAAATATTGTAAAAAGCTTTTTTTCGCCATTCAATGCAAGATTGTTCATTCATTCGTTCATATCTTTTATTTGTCACAATTTGAGACAAATAAAAAAATGAATGAATGAATGAATGAATAATCTTCAGATATTATTGTACTTTTTTAATTAATATCAGTTTTTATAGTACTTTTAACTGAAACTTCTTTTGATGTTATGCCTGTATTCACAATGTTCTCATCAGCCACATTACGGGCTGCTCACTTTTTTGGGGTCTTGTTTTATAAATGAAGAATTAAATAATAATAATAAAAGGGCTCACTATCAACAGCAAATTATGTACAAAATGTATATACGGTATTTTCATATGTAGAGGTAAAAACCCCATTTCGACTACTTCCATTTCAAATAATCAATGACACATGGGTAATTCTTTCCTGTTTCTAATGTATTACAAATACAGTTTTGAATATCACACAATGACTTAGGAAGGTGTAAATTGGAATTCAGTCTTTCTAATAGAATGTCTTCCGGAATCTGTCCATATTGATTATAAGGGTTTGTTTTTATTTGTTCATTTACACATAGGCCTACCGGTAGTTGTAGCATTTGTTTTAAATGAAATACATGTAGCTGTCGACACATCTTGACAAAAGTAGTTGTAGGCCTACTTTAATAAAGATATATTTAAACTATAATATTAACAAAGTTTAGAAATAATATAGGTAGTCTATGGTAACTAGGGATCGACAATTATGTACAGGTCTTTATATACGCAATTGTTTCTAAACATGTATTTTATTCTCAATGAAATGAAAGACCGTGTCCTTCTATGACAAATATACAGGGCAAACTTTGGGCTGTTCCATGATGAATTTGTTAGCTTCATTCGATAGGAGGCTATTTATTATACAGTAGTCAGTCGTCACACTGAGGCAAGAGGCACCACGTTCCAGTTTGACACATTTATCTAGGAACTATCAGTGAAACACTAAAAATGAAGAATAAAGTCTAACTAGACTACAGAAGTGTCACTAGTACTGTACATGAAAACACTTATGTATTGGCACCTTTCTTCACTAATTACACTTATAACAAATAATATATGGCGCTATACGAAGTACAGAGTGTCTAACGATAACAAAGAGGGGAACATGTGAACATGTACACAATACAAAAACCAAACCAACGATTACGAACTCACGAAGCAAACAAGCATATTGGGAAGGTTCTGTGAATAGAACTTGAAAATTAACAATTCTACGAATAGAGCTGACATGATTAGACACATGCACTGAACAATCCAGGATGATGCCAACATTTTAAAAAGATGTGAAGTGTGAACATGGAGATCTTCTAATCTTAACTCATTGTTGGTGAGAGAGGCAAGTATGCGATTATTGGCAAATACAAAGAACTCTGTCTTATTCTGGTTGAGTTGCAGCATGTTTTGTGACATCCATTCATTGATTGTATGTATGCAGGATGATAGACTGGAAAGTACCTGTTGACGATAACTATCACTCTTATGATCAAATTCACCATAGAGTTGGATATCATCGGCATACTGATGGAACATGATGTTATGTTTACGAATGATATTTCCATATATAGGAGAAGGTACTAGGAGTGCAAGTATTTCAAATAGAGATCGGCCCCTGATATATCACCAACGAATGTGTGGTCGGCCCAAGTTTCTGAATGAAAATGTAACATTTCAGTCACGAAATTGTATGAATTATTGGTGGAATAAAATAGTTACTTATACCTTTAACATGTTTGTATTTATGCCTCTTTTTACAATACTGTTAACAAATTTTAAGGTACATGAAACTGTTGATCTTCTGCGTACTTCTGCGGCCCATTAATTTCAGATCCTTCACATTTGAAACATGCATGTTTTTGTGTTCAAGAGAGAGAGAGAGGACTGTAAGGAATGGTTATGAATGGAAACAACCAAATACTGTAATTTCCCTCTAGTTTTTCTGCATACGCTCCATGCGCTCTTCGACCAACTTCTCTATGGATGGTGCGCGGTTAGCTGCGATTGTTTTGGCAATTCTGCGTGGGTCATCTGCCGACATACTGACGTGCTGTGAGAGATGTCCAAAGGTTGTGATTCTCTTCATGAAGATGTTTTCCATCAAGTCAGGGATGTATGCATAGGCTTTAGGTGCAAGTTTTGGCTGTGCAGTCCACTTCTTTGACCGCTTGGAGTACTTCCTCTCGTACCTATAATAATAAGTGCAATGTAGTATGGCAATTTTTAAATTCCATGTTTAACGGTGAATTTTGTAAGAGCGATTTCAAGCACTGCCTATTTTCCATCATAATATAGGAAGGCTTACGTGGGTTTCCCATTAGGTCCAACTTGTTGAGGGCGGTCACGGTGGTTGTTGCAATCAATTGCTGCCAGGATGTTGCGGGTCTTGTAGCCAATGATGCTGTAATGGCAGAAGAAAACAGAAAGTTACTAATATTGCTGACCAGGTGTAACTTTTTTCCTTTCAATTAAAAGAAGTTTTCAGAAGTTTTGACAGCACCATTGAAATTACTTTCAATGATATAACATAAAAACATAACATGGAAACAACGTTAATTGGATAAAACATTATGTGCATCAATGCGTAATTTATCGGTACAAATTAGGCAATCCATCCTTTAACACCAAAAATCATTTGGTATTCCAAAACGTAATATATTTACACTACATACAAGACCAACACTGCTTTGAAACAACAGCTTACCCATAGGCGTGGCGCTTGGGTGCATACTGTGACGGAATAGGAATTAAGTCACCAACTGTATGTTTTAAATACACTAGCACACTGTGAGTCACCCACACTTTGCATATAAGGAATCCTTGTTTCTGATTGGTCAATTGAGTTTATGCACTGTCGTATGGCAAAGAGAAGTTGTACACAGCTTATGGGGCTCAAAGGCTATAAAAGGAGTTGCAGGGCTAGGATTTAGTCAGTTGATTGCTTGATTCTCTGATTAGACTAATTGCTCAGGCTCTTGATTATGCGGAATGACATGACGGATGATGATGATTAAAGGCATGACCATCGTACCTCATTACTGTTTCTGTTCACCAATTACTAGTCTGTCTTAGGGTATAGGGTCTACTTAGGACTAAGTCTAGGGCAAAGTCCCAAGGTAGATAAGTTGCTCCACCCACATTCCGACTCCGCCTATTCCGCCCGATTCCTACTCCACCCGCATTCCGACTCCGCCGACATTCCGACTCCACTCACATTCCGACTCCGCTGACATTCCGACTCCGCTGACATTCCGACTCCGCCGACATTCCGACTCCACCCACTTCCGACTCCACATTCCGATTCCCAGTTCCCACTTCCATTCCCCTGCTCCATTGCCCTGACTACCAGTCTACTGGCTGATCCAACCAACCCAGAAGGGGGGATAGCCTGGTGCTGTGGCCCACCACTGCAGGGATAGGACACCATCGGGACGGCACGCTACCAACCAAACCAGCCTGACGCAGGAGAGCTGGCACGACACGTCACATTGGTGGCAGCGGTGGGATCCACCAGGAGAGAAACTTCAGTGGAATTCAGCAGCTGAAGGAAGAAGACAACGGAATGGAACAAAGAGAGCAAGCAGTGCTTACACCAGGGAAACACCGAGTGGAAGAAGTCGACTCGGGAGTGGAGTTCCGGTATCAAGGCAGTGACTTATTTCCAGCGGCTGTGGGAAGTGCGGCGACGAGCGGAGCAAGCAGCATCCTTCAACCGGCCCAGGAAGCATCGCAGCTCCAGTTCTCTCCAATGACATCCACCGTGAATCCAGGGCTGTTTCTAGGGAGATCGACACCATGGACAACGGTTGGAGAAGAGTGGGCAAGGCAACCGATGGCGAGCATCAACCCTGCACATCTTGAGGGGTCTCAACAGAGAACTCCACAACGTGGATGGATGGGCGAGCTGGGGGAACCAGCCGGAGGATCGCCGATGTTGAACCCACTGAGCACTTCTACTCCCGTGAGCAACTTACAGATATCAGGAGCCAGAGTCGAGCAAGCACCAAGGCTACCAGTGACGATCGGGAAGATCGAAAACTGGTGCCCGGGCGGAGCGGGAGCAAGGGAATATTCCACCAGAAGTGTGAATATTGGAACTTCCGCACCACCAGGAATCACTACCGTCAGTGGAGCATGGCAAGCACCACCAGGGTTCAGCCCTTACGTGCCACTAGTCTTCAGCACTATGACGGCAGGAATGCGGACATCCCCAGGGTATGCAGCAGCAGCAAGGCAGTCCACAAGCGAAGCAAGCGTAAGCACCGCTTCTGCTCAAGGGAGACCGTTTGAGGTGCCCGGAGCGGGAGCCGGAAGCGAGTACATGCCGGTTTCAAGTGAACGGTCAAGCACGTGGAGTCCAGTTTTTGCTACCAAGATGGAGTCAAGTCAACCACAGCTACCACCGAAGGTTTCCTCACCGATGAAGGTGGAGGGACTGGAGCAAGGGTTGGCGGGAGTGACAATTGGGAGCAAGAAACCAGAGGGGCCCACGGAGGAACCAGAGAAAAAGACAGGTGCAGGGGATGAGAAGATCCACCGAGCACAACGGAAGCCGAGTTTTGTTCCAGACAGATTTTCAGGGGATATTCCCTGGAGGATTACAAGGCTCACCTTGAGTCTTGCGCAACGATCAACGCGTGGACCTCTGCAGAGAAAGCATTTTTCCTGGCAGCAAGCCTGAAGGGGCAGGCCCAGCAAGTGCTTGGAGACGGGGTCCAGGGCGAACCATTGAGCTACAACGACCTTACTACAAGGTTGGAAAGACGATTTGGTCCCGGGGAGCAGGCCGAGAGATTCCTGTCGGAACTGAGGAGTAGGACAAGGGGGGTCAACGAAGGTCTACAAGCACTCGGACACAGCATCCGACGGCTGACGGAATTGGCATACCCTGAGCTCCCCAGAGATTCGCGGGAAAGACTCGCCCGGGGGCATTTCATGGATGCCATCCCAGATGCAGAAGTGCGTGCGGGAATCTTCAGAGCACACCCCAAGTCCTTAGATGAAGCGATACGGGCGGCCCTGGAGACAGAATCATTCATCAACTCCGAGAGACAGAGGCAGGGGGGCCAAGGTGGTCGCCAATCTCCAAGGACGCATCGGTACGTCGAGACGGTCTCTCGAGAGGAGTTCAACCGGCATACACAGGGCATGTTAGAACAACTCAATGCATTGGAGGCGATGATAGCTGGCCTAGCAGAGGCAATGCACAGCAAGACCGCAGCTCCAAGGAGTAACGAAAGAGGAGTAAATGATGCTGGGAATCAGAGAGATGGAGGGGGAAGAAAACAATGGGACAGCGAAACCTGTCACAACTGCGGAGGTTTGGGGCATTTCAAAAGAAATTGTCCAATTCCTAGTAAGAGCAGAGGATGGGCTACTGGAAACCCAAGGGGACTAACACAGCTAGTCGTGGGGAGGCCGTCACTACCAGAGCAGAGCCAAGTAACCGACACAGAGTCGACAAGGGCTACTCTCAAGGAGTCCAGTGGAGAAAATGAAAGAGGGGCCTGGACATTGACAAGAACTCCAAGGTGGACACTGCAGGAATTGAGGGACGCACAGCTGGCAGATTCTTCAATTGGGCCGATGATGCGGGCGATGGAGAATGGTGAGGAGCCAGTATGGGAAGCCATGTCGGAGGAATCAGCAGCTATGAAGACATACTGGGCTCAGAGGCAGCTACAGATCCGGAATGGTGTGTTGTCACGTCAATGGAAGTTGGCGAATGGAAAACGCGGCAGATGGCAGATGGTCCTACCACCCACAATTCAAGAGAAAGTTCTCAAGGGACTACACAACAGTAAAGTGTCACGTCACCCCGGCGTCTACAAATCACTGCAGATAGTGCGCCGACGCTACTACTGGTCGGGCATGATGAAGGATGTACGGACAACAGCAACGAGGTGTGAGAGCTGTGGCCATGCGAAGTCTCACGGAAGAAAGGCTCATGGACTACTCAAGCAACATGTGGCAAAAGCGCCAAGCATGGTGAGAGAGAACATCATGGTGAGGCCACGTGTGTGGAAAGTGAGGTGCTCCAACAGCATTCCAGTGGCATTCCAAGGGAAGGTTCAACAACATTCCACTGGGGGAAAGTCAGCAAGATTCCAGCCACATTCCGCCAAGACTTCGGCATCCCTCCACCGATATTCCGATCATGTTCCACCGAGACATTCCACAGGAATTCAAACAGTATTCCACCAGGGCATTCCACCGAGATTCCAGGTACGAGGGGAGATGCCAGAAGACAAGCTCAGGGTGGGAGCCGACAAGGGAAAAGACAGGCAACGAGACCCCCGAGGCCCGTCCCGGCAAGAGGAGCGCCGCTGCCCGGAGCCAGGGTGTGGCACGACCACGACCAAAAGATCTAACCTGGTCAGACACCTGAGAGAGTGCCACAGGGGGCAGGCCCAATTTCGCTGTGGTGGATGCGACGAACGGTTCTCTAGAAGGGACTCCCGGGATCGGCACGAGAAAAAAAAACCACCGGGGTGGGAGCACAAGCCCCAAGACCCAGAGCCAGAAGTCCAGACTGTCCACATTACGCCAGCTGCTCCTCCTCAGAGGCAAGCTGCTCCGACGTCAACCTCCGAAAGTGGAAGAAGTACTTCCACGAAAAGGGGGGAAGTTCCACAGAGTGCTACGCCAGGAGGACCAGTCCAGTGTCCAGGTAACCAGGGACAGCTACACACATCAGAGGGTGAAGAGGACATCAACAGGGAATATGGCAACACAATCTGTTGGAACGATGTAGCCTGCCATCAGGAAAGGATGACAAGAACTTCCACCTAAACTACTAAATCTCTATAAAAAATAACATTGAGGAATGTTTTCTGAAGAAATTAAAGTTTATACGATTTTGTTCTGATCTGAGATATTTGTAAGTCAGGTTTTAAAGCTAAGTTTTGAACCACCAAGTTGTTGTTTTTCAAAGTAATGTTTCCGAGAAGTATTGGAATGTGCTTAAGATTTACCAAACTTAATTTTCATGTAAAATATTTTTGTCTTAGTTATTTCATCTGAGTTGTTTTATTAAAAGCTCTTGTAGTTTTCAGGGACTGAAAACTTTGGGAGGGGGGCTATGTGACGGAATAGGAATTAAGTCACCAACTGTATGTTTTAAATACACTAGCACACTGTGAGTCACCCACACTTTGCATATAAGGAATCCTTGTTTCTGATTGGTCAATTGAGTTTATGCACTGTCGTATGGCAAAGAGAAGTTGTACACAGCTTATGGGGCTCAAAGGCTATAAAAGGAGTTGCAGGGCTAGGATTTAGTCAGTTGATTGCTTGATTCTCTGATGATTAGACTAATTGCTCAGGCTCTTGATTATGCGGAATGACATGACGGATGATGATGATTAAAGGCATGACCATCGTACCTCATTACTGTTTCTGTTCACCAATTACTAGTCTGTCTTAGGGTATAGGGTCTACTTAGGACTAAGTCTAGGGCAAAGTCCCAAGGTAGATAAGTTGCTCCACCCACATTCCGACTCCGCCTATTCCGCCCGATTCCTACTCCACCCGCATTCCGACTCCGCCGACATTCCGACTCCACTCACATTCCGACTCCGCTGACATTCCGACTCCGCTGACATTCCGACTCCGCCGACATTCCGACTCCACCCACTTCCGACTCCACATTCCGATTCCCAGTTCCCACTTCCATTCCCCTGCTCCATTGCCCTGACTACCAGTCTACTGGCTGATCCAACCAACCCAGGAGAGGGGATAGCCTGGTGCTGTGGCCCACCACTGCAGGGATAGGACACCATCAGGACGGCACGCTACCAACCAAACCAGCCTGATGCAGGAGAGCTGGCACGACACGTCACAATACATAAGTAAGTGGTTGTGGAAGGACTCGACAAATCCGGTGTGTCTGGAAAACAACCGAAAGTAAATGGTTTGTTAATGGCTTGAAATTGAATATACATTGTGCTGATGAAATAGTGCCACAAAACAACTACACCCCTGTAAATGTCCGAAGAATATAACTTTTAACATCAACATTGTGCTCATATACATGTACGTTCATGAATAACAAATTATACCAATGTTCCAATGAAAGTGTACATACGGTACAGTTGGTTTTAAACATCAACATTTTTGACATTACATGTTTTGTATGGAAAATTGAGAGGTTTGCGGTAACACCATGTGAAACTCTCTCGAGTATGTGTGGTTCTGAAGAGAACAAGTTGCATTAACTCAACATCAGCTTTTAAAAAGTATGCTCTGATCGTCATTCTGCTGATGACGAACAGAGCAGACTTCGAAACGTCCAGTTAATCCGACAGGTTCTCTGTTCAGCATCACACATACTCACAAAAGAGATATTTCCACATGGTGTTACCACAAAACTCACTTATTGATCTTTCCACCATGCAAACCCTCAAGTCTCTTGTTTTGCATGCTTTGAAGAGAGTATGACATTTCAGTAAAAAGCACACAAGAGCTTTGATTCAATCCAAACAGTTTACATGTGTATGATATGTTCTCGGCAATGCCTCCCAGCATTTGTCTATGTGGTCTTTGCTTCAGTTTTTCTTTCTTTGGTTTTGTGGTGATTGTTGGTTTGGAGGGTTCCTCTAAAAGTGAAGAAGTTGAGAAATATTCTTGCAATTCTGGAATATATGTTCTTAGAAATTTGTTTACCTGAAGTTGCGGTAGTAATGTATGTTCTTCATGAGATAGACATCAAACACAAGCTTCCGGAGTGCTTGATGTTCAGGAGAGTCCTTCTCCAACCATGGTCTCTTTCGTTCCTCCCCACTCAGTTCGCCATGGTTGCAAGTACCACTTGTCAGGCCGTTCGTAACTATCCACTCATGTTCATTTACCACATGGTGTAGATATGAAATCCATATGGCCTGTATTGAAATAAATTAATAAAAATGCAATTAGATTTGTGAACATACATCCCAATGGTCTTCCCATTCTTACAACTAAAACAACATTCCTGTCCTGAAACTCACAAATGAATATTCACCAACTTTTGATTCAGTTGTATTTTATTTTTACATGGCCCGTAAGATATTTTTATAAGCAAGTACATGATACTTAGTTGTGTTTTTGAACTTCTGTGAGTTTTTTAAACTTTGAATTGATTTTGTAAGGAATAAAGTAAATACAGTAAAATACAGTAAAATAGCATAAGTTCACATGTATTGATTTTTCACCTTTAGCAGGTCTGTATCTCCATTGCACTTCTTTGCCGGATGGCATCTGCCCATGGTAGAATCTTACCGAGTCCTTTCTGACTTGAAAGCTGAAACATTAGATGAAATTAAATCAATTACTGAAGCCCATGTTCTGGTACGGCACGTTTAGTTCCATTTTGACTCCGTCAATTGATGTCCAAGGACAAAATCTCATTGAATAATTCACAAACCTTAATTACTGGTATGGGATCATTCAAAATATATTTTCATAATACAGTCTCTGCATACCACTGTCAATCATTGGAGTAATTTTTTAATAACAAAGAAAACATGTCAACTGTTTTCAATATGCGACAGCGTAATACCGATAAATTCGATAATTAATTGCTCAGAACTCTCATTTGCCACATAAACAGAAATTTGACTCATGCCCGTTCGATGGACACCCTCCACAACTTTTATCGCACAAGTTAAGTCCTCTTTAACGCAGGAGGAACATGACTGCACCAATACTGACTTGATCTCTGAACTGGTTTGAGACCCACCCAAGCAGCAATCAATAGGTTTAACGGTACATGGGGGTACGGTTGCAAGTTCCTGCACCCAGACCTCAAGAACTTCACTTTGTGCCTCTTCAGAACAAGGCTGTTGTGCTTCACCTAACTCTACAGATTTAAACCACTGCAAGGCTAGATCCCATTCCTGATTCTCACAAACACGTGCTGAAGCTCTAAGCTTAGCAGACAAAACACGCAATACATTACAACCAAGCAAGACAGGATATTTATCTTTACTGGCGGCCTCATTACTCAGAACTAAAAAACTGGCTACAAACTTCTGGCCGAAAATCTCAACAGGGGCCTCTAAATAGCCGTCGACAGGAACAGCTAAGCCGTTCACACCCACAAGCTTAACAAATGTGCCCACTTCATGTAATTTCCCTACTTTCTTTGCGAAATGGTTGTGATAAAATTCTGCAGACACTAATGATGTGACTGCCCCGGTATCTAACACACATTCTCCGGGAACCCCAGCTATTGGGACAGTTGCTGTAGGACTTCTTGCAATAAGCTTCTTCTTTTCCGAAGCAGAAATAACCCTATCTAAATTTCCAGCTACACTACTGATAACTTGCTCTGCGGGCTCCGAATGACCCTCCGACACAGCGCCCTCTATGGCGGAGGCATCACATTTCCCCCTTCCTTATTTTGGTCGGACTTGAGTTCTGTGCTAGGTTTATATTTCTCTTGTTCATGCAGATTTCTCCGCTTGTAGCAATTGTCTACAGTATGGCCCACCTTTTTGCAAAATGAGCACCGAGGTGGTGGTGGTCTATTGGGATTCCCCCTACCCTTCTCAATACCGGTAACTAAACGATCTAATCGTTCAGTCATGAGGGTCTGCTGTTGCAGAAGAAGGCCTTGTTGTTGAACAAGTTTGTCCACACTGGAAATGAGGACTTTCTGACTACTCACTAAATCTCCCAAAACTTTACTAACAGCCAAATCCCCACATAAAGCACGATCCACCCTACAGTCCATGTGTTCTACAGAGAACACCTGGTCAGCAGAGTCTTTATTAGCAGCGGAAATCCGTGTATCCTCATCACGGAAGAGTGAAAGAGCCATATTTCGTATTTCAAAAAATGTTTTCTTTGGATAGTCTACAACGAGTCTTCGCAGTTCTCTGCGCACAGCCTGGTCGGCTGCACCTCTTACAAATTGCTCTTTCAGGGCCCCCTGTTTCAGCTGACAAAGAGCAGCTTTTTCTTTATGGTCACCCGCCGCAGCTTCCATTCGATCATACAAGCGTATGATCTAAAATCGGTGAGGTTCTCACCATCTAACTGCTCCTTAGAGTAAAATGCATGATTTAGTAAACTAGACTGAACCGTTTCAGACGAGCCAAATCTACTATGTAGAAGTTCGCGAAGTTTAACGAGCTCGCATCTTTCAAGGGGAGGACAACAAAGTACCTCCTCACGAGCAGCACCCGTGAGGTGGTCCATTGCTGCAGCAACTTTCTGTTCGTCATTGAGACTGAGCTGTTTCGCATAAGTCTCAAGGTCATCAAGCCATTCTTTAAGAGACGGGTCTCCCGACTTCCGCGGGGGGCCACAAAACTTAGCTAGTTTAACTGTGGGCGCTCTCTGATAACGCAAATTGCTAAATGCATTGGCCAGAGTCTCGGCTAAGGCCTGGTTAGACTTAGAAATGGCCTCTGCCATTACTTCAGGCATAGACATGGTTGTAATCTAGATAGTGCCACACCCAGACATCAAACAAATACAAACTAGCTTAAGGCAATACAATATCGTACATGTACACACATGTACAAGGCTTGAACAAATTGTGTAAAGGCCTACACATCAAAATGGTCAGAAAGTGAAATTCTCCCTAAAATGTACCATGGAATATTGGCTCAAAGACACAGGCAACTACATGTACACTTGTAACTAAACAAGATCAGTCATATACAAATGTATAAACAATGCACAAACGCTATCATAAACAGTTATACACATGTGCAATAAACATGTACAAATACATACACAATTTGAGAAAACTGCCGATTTACAGTCTCCCACTGAAGGACATCAGTAGCTACGTCCTCCGCAGTCGCAGGACTTGAAAGGTTGAAACTTGCACCAGGGGATCTTTGAATTTGATGACCGATGATGAAGGATCACGACGAGATCAACAAGCAACACACTCCATCCCATCCTCGTCGCCATTTTTGAAGTGATTTGAATACTGCGGTGTCACAGCATGATCTAGGGAGTTCGATCCCAAACTAAATCAGGATAAGTGTGTTGGAGGCTGCCCCAGATGGAATCACACGGAATCACCAGTTCAGTTCAATTTCAGCGATTAATAGAGAATTTATTCAATCATCAGCAAATCAGTAGAATAACCATGAGTTAATCAGTTGCAGTTAATGAACATGATGAACAGATGTTGATCCCAAAACTTCCCCAGTATATGTGCTATGTGTGGATTCCGGTCACGATGCAAAGACAGATCACCAGGCAAAAGATCCCGTATAGTAAAGATCCCGTATAGTAAAGATCCCCAGGTGCAATAAAAGAAGGTCTCACAGTAGACCGCGCCTACATATTGCCTACGGAAAAATAAACAAGACAACACTGCGGTCAAAATACATGGTGAATGTGTACACAATGGCGGTCAATGGTCACACACACACGACGCGAGTTCATACGCTGTGCGCTGTGCATACAAGTACAACGTGGGTGTGTGTGGGAATATTGTAACGTGCGTAGCCAATCGGTTTCCCTAGCCCTGCCAGGTCTAATGACGTCAGCACCTGCGGTTGAATGCCACAGCTCCGGGATGCTTCTTGTTGAGCCCTTCTCTGCCTCAGTGGTAGTGTGGATTACTTGTGGTTTGATTTGGGGGCGGGGTGACCTAGTGGATTTGGTGGATCACTGTGGATTGGGTGGATCACTGTGGAAAGGGGGGTGGATTTGGGTGGATCACGGGTGGATTTAATGTGGATCACTGTGGACCACACCCTTTAACCAAGTATAATTAATTAGACAATCAACAATAAATTAGGCACAGGAGATTGGTTTGACTTCTTCGGCCCCACCTGATCAAGAAGTGAGTTTTATTTCATCAGCTCTGCCTTTTATAGGCCAACATCCCTATAATCTTGTACATGTGTGCTTTACTCAATACAAAAGGATTTGACCAATCAGATTTCAGTAGGTGACTAAAGACACACCCACTTAACAGTGCTATTTGGCTCATACAGTTGAGATAAGGGAGACTAATATAAAACGTGTAGTTCGTGATTTGTCACATGACCCTCCCCCAGACTTTTCAGTCCCTGAAATTGTTAATTTTACAATGTTATCCACTTTGCTTCAAATGATTACTAAAAGCAGAAAGTGTTCCTATTCCAGTTTCATCCTTCGTTTTGTAAGCCTAACAATCGCTTCAGCTGATTCAGTGGATTATTAAAATTGTACATGTATGCCGTCATAACTTTGAGTATAAACTTGGTTACTAAACACATCGAACAAGTTACAACTTTAAAATTTAAACTCGGTTACACTAACTTTTAACGTTAAAATTATAAAGGTTTGAACAATTCTTTCTCTTTTTCCAATATGTTCTTACATCAATAAATACGAAAACATAGATCATGGCCTTCTGATCCTTATATTTCAACAAATCTTTGAATATCACTTTCCATTTTTTTCTTTGTTTTTGACTACCAAAATTCTATGGTCAGCTTTAACAAAAACTTTCTCAAAGGTAAACTTTTCAACTTAAATAACTAGGATTTAATGTCCACAACGGTCTTGGACTGTTTTTGGTGGAAGAGGATGCCTCCGCGGAATACCTTGATGGTGGTAGTTGCCTCGATCCGCTCCCCTTCCTCCGGCTCCTCACTCTCAGTCGACGAGCTGATTCTTGTGCTCTCTGTTTGCAGTTGCCTTAGCAACTTTAATGATTTCCCCCCTGTCTTGGGATGAATACCGGATGTTGCGGTCGATGGGGGTGTGCAAGGGGGTGGAAGGAGCTCCAGGGTGGGTTCCGGTGGTAGAGGGAGGTCGCTGGGTTCGGTGGGGGGGAGCAGCTGGCGTGGAGACTGGATATGGATGAGGGAGGGGCCTGCGGCCGGTGTCGTGATGTTCTTCATGACGGTGAAGGCTGGCGTTCCGGGTGAATGCTTCGCCGCAGGTTTTACAGGTGAATCCTGAGGAACTGTCGCCCCGATGATGGGCCTCCTTTGCATGCCTTACCAGATTGCCTTTCAGGGAGAACTCTTTTCCGCAGTCGGGAACCGGGCAGGTGTGCTTTTGCGTCTGTCCACTGCTGGTGGCTGACGGTTGCTCCTTGGTCCGCTGGTGTTGGTGCTGATGTTGAGGCCGGTCTTGGCTGGTGGTAGCACTTGGGCGGCGGTCGTTCTGTTCCTTTGTTTGTTTCTTGTGCTTGTGGTGTCCGCTGTCATCCGGCCTCTTTCTCTTATCGCCACGGTCGGTGTGCTTTTTTGATGACCTGCCCTGGTCACGATGACTGTCGCTCCCCTCCTTCGGCATGGTGATGTAAGGAACGTATGACTACCGAAATGTCAAATTCCGATTAATCCGCTGAGACTTAATCCACAGGTGGATCACAGAAGGTGGCTGAGTGGATAAGTGGATGAGTGGTTGACGCTGGCTTTGGAGGAGACTCAAAACGATGATGTTACCGAACGATGATCAAAAACTAACTGGTGCGATATGTTCAGCGTAACTATGCCAGCGCGTACGCATCATGCTCGCACAAGGTAGTGTAGATAGATACTTCACACGATTACCATTACACAATATGTGCCAAGGGTTGGGGGCTAGACGAAATGTGGATACTGGCATTGTTTCGCCCACTGAGGGCGCCCGTGATGATTAATGGCTGCATCTCACGGCCGTAAACCTCGTAGTCTTGTAATCCAGCCGGTTGTCTACGTCGCCGCTGCGGATATCGGCGCTGTGATTCCTCGAAACTTGGAGGATTTTCAGGCTCCCCTTCCGTCGTCACCTTGGCACTGTCGGCTGCTTTTACTGGGGTTGATTCTGGCTGATTGACCGGAGTACCGGTAGCAAGTGCTGGGGAATCACCATCCTTGGGTTTATTATTTGCGCTTTCTGTGGGTATAACTTGTAGATCGTTCTCTTGATCCATCTCGCCAGCAACATCCTCTTTTTCCTCGTCGTTCTCCTCCGTGGGGCTCGTCGTCCTCTGTTCAACTTGCCATAATTGCCGCGGTGGACCCGTGTAAGCCTTTAGCTTGTCGTAGTGCTTCGACCTCGGCTTCTCCTGTACTCTGAAAGTCACGTCAGATAGTTGTTTTATCACCAGGTATGGTCCCAGCCACTTAAATTGAAGCTTTGGAGACAACCCCTTCTTGCGTGATGTGTTATGCAGCCACACAAATTCCCCAACATTTATTTTATGGCCGGCCACATGGCGATCGTAGTTGCGCTTTTGCCGTCGTAGGTTAGTTTTCATGCTCTCTCGCGCTCGGTCATGGGCTTGGGTCATCCTCTGCCGAAGATTCTGTGCATAATCTGTTGACGAATGGTCATCACAATCGTCGGGAAGCTTGGCTAGTGCATCAAGAGGTAAGGATATATCACGTCCCATGAGCATGAAGCATGGTGATTCCCCCGTACTTTCTTGAACAGCACTCATATATGCCATCATCGAATACGCCATGTTGGCATCCCAGTCTCGCTGATCTTGTCCTACGAATGGGGCAACCAGATTGATGAGGCTCCGATTGAATCTTTCGATGAAGCCGTCTGACTTGGGATTGTAAGGGCAGGTTCTTGTTTGATCCATTCCTAGCAGTCTGCAGACCTCTCTGAATACAGCTGACTGGAAGTTTGTCCCCTGGTCGCTGTGGATTTCCTTCGGGCAACCATACCGGCATATGAATTGCTCCACCAGGGTTTCCGCCACAGTTGTAGCTTTCTGGTCCGGCAGGGCGTAAGCCTCGATCCACTTCGTGAACGGGTCACCTACTACGAGCACATATGCATTGCCCCGCTCACTCCTGGGTAGAGGGCCCATAATATCGAGGGCGATTCTTTCCATTGTTGCCCCCACGGTGTACTGCTGAAGTGGGGCCCGGGATTTCTTTCCTGGCGATTTTCTTCTGGCACATGTGGTGCATTTACGGATCTTGGAACGCACGTCGGCTGACATCCCTGACCAGTAGTACCTTTTCTGAACTTTTATAAGGGTCTTGCGGACCCCTTGGTGTCGTGCGGTTTGCTGTCATGAAGTTCCGCGAGGACATCCTCTCTGAGGTCTGTTGGAGGGATGACTTGCCATTTGAACCGTCTTCCATCGTCCGACTCATGTCGCCTACACAGGACTCCTTCACGAACTTTGAGCTGCTCCCACTGTGCCCAATATGTTTTGCTCGGCGCTGAGTCAGTAGATATCACTTCCCATTTCGGTCTGTTGTCACCATCCTCTTTGGCCCTCAGTATAGGTCTAATTGTGGAGTCTTCTAACTGCTTTTCTCGTAGTTGCTGCAAAGTCCACTTTGGTGTGATGGTGACCATTCTGGTGCCACGGTCGAGATGCTCCTCAGACTCTTTCTCACCTGGGATTTCCTCCGCTTGGAGCTCATCTGACTCAGCGCCGGTTCTGCCACATTGGGTACACGGCTTACGAGATGCATCTGCATTCTGGTGCACACGCCCAGCTCGATGTTGGATGACAAGGTCATATTCGCTTAGAATCTCCATCCACCTTGCAAGCTGCCCTTCTGGATTGCGGAAATTAATTAACCATCGTAATGCACCATGGTTAGTCCGGATAACGAACCTCCGTCCGTAGAGATAATAGCGGAAATGCTTTACATACGTGACAACCGCCAAAAGCTCCCTTCTGGTCACACAGTAGTTTCTTTCCGGTTTTTACATCGTGCGGCTGGCGTATGCAATGACTTTTTCTTCTCCATCCTGCCTTTGGGAGAGAACTGCTCCGATACCAGTGCTGCTTGCGTCAGTATCTAGGATAAACTCCCCTACTTCCTTAGGGTACGCAAGGATGGGTGCAGTTGTCAGTGATCGTTTCAGTGTCTGGAAGGCCTCATCACAATCTTCTGTCCACTCGAAGACCCGATTCTTCTCCAACGGCCGGTGCAATGGTTGAGCTATTTTGGCGAAGCCTTTTATATAGCGTCTATAGTAGGATGCCAACCCAATGAAGCTCCTCACATCCCTGGTAGACTGAGGCACTGACCACTCCTCCACCGCTCTGACTTTCCCCGGATCTGTGGATACCCCGTTTCTGGATATAATATGGCCAAGATAGGTGACTGACTGCTGAAAAAGGCTGCACTTCTTGGGCTTCAACTTAAGATTGGCCTCCCTGAGCCTTTGGAACACCTCCCGCAGTCGGTCTACTTCATCGTCCACACTCTCGGCAAAGACTATTATGTCATCCAGGTACAAGAGAAGGGTCCTCCACTGGAGACCAGCAAAAATTCTCTCCATCAGCCGTTCGAAAGTAGCAGGGGCGTTACATAAGCCGAATGGCATTACATTCCACTGATAAAGCCCAGATCTAGTCACAAAAGCCGCCTTCGCCTTGGCATCATGGTCCAGCTGCACCTGCCAGTATCCACTTGCCAGGTCAAGCGTTGAGAACCACTGGGAACCAGCAAGTGAATCCAAACTGTCGTCAACCCGAGGTATGGGGTAAGCGTCTTTCAGGGTGTGAGCATTGAGGGATCTATAATCCACACAAAACCGGGTAGAGCCGTCTTTTTTCTTTACCAGTACGACCGGTGATGCCCACGCGCTGCTAGACGGCTCAATTATCCCCTTCTGTACCATTTTCCGAACTTGCTCATCTGCTTCCGCCCTCTGCCAGATGGGAAGTCGCCTTGCTCGTTGACGAATTGGCGTCGTTTCATCAACCCGGATGCTATGGTGGACAATATCTGTCTTGCCCAGGTCACCCAAAATATGTCTTGATAATCTATCAGTAGTTTCTTGACTCGTTCTCTGTCGGCATCATCCCACAGTTGGCTTACACTCTGCTGGTAAAGTTCGACAAGATGTTCCGGTACTTCCCTCGATCCCTTGTCCGCCCTCTCCATTATTGTTACTGACACCCAAGGGGATTCTACATCTTCCTCATTTATGGCTGTGAGTGTCCCTACTGTACATCCTCCACTGACTGTCGCTACGCTTGCACCTGGGTTAAACACTCGAATTGGGTAGCTGTCAACTCCCGCATCCACCAGCACTCTGGCGACCAGTAACCCTCTTTCGGACAAGACGTTCCTGTCAGTGGGCTCAATCATTCCCAAACCTTGGAGTTCCATCGGTTGTTCCAGGACTCCCGTGATGATTGCTTCATGTCCTGGTGGAATCCGGGATGTCTTTTCGGCACGGACCTTATAACAAGATGAAGTGGTTCTCTTGCCATCACAAAGGGGCACGGTGTGCTCTGCTATTCTGAGTTGAAGTTCTTTCAGGTCCAGGGTACAGGCAGTGGTCAGCAGAAAATTCATTCCAAGTATGCCCCTATTTCTAATTGGCGCGACAATGACCTCCACTTCAGCACGGTATCCTCCTATTTGTACCCCCATCAGGGCACTCCCCTTGGCTGTTAGTGGCTTACCATCCGCCTGGCGGATTACATCACTAATCGGCACCAAACTGGGACGAACTCCTCTGATCATCGAGTTATACTCTGTGATACTAATCAGTGTCTCTGAAGATCCTGTGTCGATCAGAAATGGCAACGAGTGTTGGCCGATTTGCCCTTCCACATACACCCCATGACGTGCTCCTATTTCTTTTGGATGCGATTGAACCGTTTCTCCATCCGAACCATCCTCGTCAATCCTTAATTTTTCTTTGCCTCCACGACCACCACCTTGTTTGGGTCTGGTTCTGCTAGTGACCTCCCCATGACCCGCTGGGTTGGTCCTGCATCGTTTCCCGACTGTGGGTTAGTGTTGAGCTTAGGGCAGTCCCGTTTAAAGTGCCCAATTTCTCCACAATTGAAACAGCTTAGCCTCCGTCGTGGCTCCCCCTCCCACTTGACACGTTGAGGAGCCTCTTGCTTCATCGCTTCAGTCAATCTCGACATCAACTGATGCAATGTCTGTAACTGTTCCGACATTACCCTTGTTTGCTGTTCAAACTCCTCTCTCGAGACGATTTCCACTTGTCTTGTTGTTCTGGGATTTCTATCTAACCGTCCACCCTGGGCTTGTTGCCGCTGTCTCTCCGCATTTAGAAATGACTCCGTTTCCAATGCTGCTCTAACAGCCTCGTCCAGTGTCATGGGGTGAGCCCTAAATATTCCAGCTCGAATTTCTGCATTTGGTATGGCATCCACTAAGTGCCCTCGTGCCAGGCGCTCTCTGCTGTCTCTTGGGAGCTCTGGATACGCCAGCTCTGTCAGTCGACGTATGCCCTGCCCAAGCTCCTGCAAACCTTCCCCTGTTTTTTCTTGTTCTGCTTCGCAGCTCCGCTAAAAACGTTTCGGCTTGCTCACCAGGCCCGTATCTCCTCTCCAGTCTCTCTGTGAGCTCCGAATAGCTCAACACATCACCGGAGACCCTGTCTCCCAACACCTGTTGAGCTTGACTCTTCAGACTAGCTGCTAGGAAATATGCCTTTTCTTCAGCCGACCAGCCATTGATGACCGCACAAGACTCAAAATGGGCCTTGTAGTCTCTCCATGGGATAGCCCCCGCGAATCGGTCAGGAACCATGCTTGGTTTGCGGTGGACTCTGCCTTCCACCTTGGCACCCACAGCTGATTTGGGTAGCTCCACCCTCTGCGACACCGTTGGGACCTTGTCAGGAGGGTTCCATGAGAGCCCTGCTGCTCTTTGCCAAATCGCTGGCTGACTTTGCTGCTGCAACCCCGTGCTCATGATTCCCGCTGGCGTCCTTGTCGGTGCGGTAACCGAAGGCTGTTGTGGCGTTCCGTGAAACTGGTGCTGCAAATTACATCTCACCTCATCCGTCAAAAACGGATTGCCGCTCGGAGTTGTAGTCGTAGTACTGTAAGCTGAACCTGCAAAACCATCTTGTAGCAATGGGCCAGCTTGTCTCTGCCAGGATGCACTGCTCGGCTCGGATTCGGTTTGGGACCGACCCACAAAACCTTGATAAGCCGGCGCCTCCACCCGCCTTGGTCCCGGATCCACTGGTGTGGACATATACCCCGGCCAAGGAGACGATAATGATGGGTAGATTACTGATGATGCCCCTCCTGCGACCTGTGGGGGAAGTTCCTGTGACCTCTTGTCCAACTGGACATCCTTTGTCTGCCCATCAGTTGCCACCAACATTACTCCACCTGCTCCTTTCACAGAGCCTTGCCCCAGCAGAAACGTTGTGGTTGATACCATCGGCGTCAACCTCGGAGGTGATGGTGTCACCACAGGCTGCAGTGTTATGCTTGTCCTGCTCACCACCCTTGCTGGTGTCTGAGAGTATCCCATACTCGCTGGTGTCCCCGAGTAGCCACTACTCGCTTTGATTCCGGAGTCTCCACTCCCTTCCAGGATCCCATCCTGATGCTCCATTTTCTTCCAGGCTCCAACAACTTATCACCACGGTGTATCCCACCGCTGCCACCAATGTAACGTGCGTAGCCAATCGGTTTCCCTAGCCCTGCCAGGTCTAATGACGTCAGCACCTGCGGTTGAATGCCACAGCTCCGGGATGCTTCTTGTTGAGCCCTTCTCTGCCTCAGTGGTAGTGTGGATTACTTGTGGTTTGATTTGGGGGCGGGGTGACCTAGTGGATTTGGTGGATCACTGTGGATTGGGTGGATCACTGTGGAAAGGGGGGTGGATTTGGGTGGATCACGGGTGGATTTAATGTGGATCACTGTGGACCACACCCTTTAACCAAGTATAATTAATTAGACAATCAACAATAAATTAGGCACAGGAGATTGGTTTGACTTCTTCGGCCCCACCTGATCAAGAAGTGAGTTTTATTTCATCAGCTCTGCCTTTTATAGGCCAACATCCCTATAATCTTGTACATGTGTGCTTTACTCAATACAAAAGGATTTGACCAATCAGATTTCAGTAGGTGACTAAAGACACACCCACTTAACAGTGCTATTTGGCTCATACAGTTGAGATAGGGGAGACTAATATAAAACGTGTTGTTCGTGATTTGTCACAATATGCACGACTGTAGCTATGACGACGACGCTGCAAAATTGGAAAGTTAGTGAGTGAAAGTGTCACAAAAATGCAAGTTTCCCGCAAAGTTATGATAAAAAGGACACTCACCACAGGTTCCAGAGGCGCCCACCTTCCCTCTCAGCACATGATTATGCTGGCAAACAGCAAAGGAAAGGTGAATTCTCACCGAGAAAATCCCGGCTACAAAATAAGTGACTGCCGTCCAAAAGTTGGAAGACAAGCAGTGCCTGTTTCGCGCGCTCCCGCACGATGCGGACACATCACCAAGTGTCTCTAAAATATTATTGCACCCTCAACAAAATGCTGTTACGGATTACTTACACCCGTAAATGACATAATATACTCAAAGGAACTTCCACTTACACATTATTGTCATTCTTATACAATTATAATAAGAAAATGTAGAAGAAACCCTCTAAAACTATGGACCTACTTGTTTCAAGAGTGAATGGACATTGAGTTAACAAGTGCCACATTTGCATAGGTCACGCGTCAACAACACCACAGGTCAATCTAAATATAGCCCTGTATCCGGGCAGCCGGTGTGTGGATGGAGGTTACGTGCCCCCACATTAATATAGGCCTTACTTTAGGCCTGAATATTTTTGGCCCAATTGAATAAAAAATAAAGCACAGGCCTGGCATAAGCAAAACCTGATTAGCCGGCGTTAAGCCTTGACACATGAAGTATTTATTTTAAATAACAATTTATGAGCCAAACACCTTCTCACCAAATTATTTTTACATGGTGATGAAATTAAAAAGCTTTCAATCAGGCATGTTCATATTTTAACAACTTGACATGACATATGGCCTACACCCTGGCCTAGCCCTACATAGATGGCATACGACATGCATAGGCCAGTGCTACTACTAGCATTCATGCTGCTAGGCCATATTTTGTAAAAAAGCACACACACACACACACACACACACACACACAAATAATAAGGCCCCTTTTCCCCAAGGAAACATTGGCAGCACGTTATTTATATCGATTGGGAACATTGGGCCCGATCATAGCGTAGTAGGTTACATGTATAAATAGGCATGATAGGCGCTACGTCCGGCCTACGATCCAGAGTCATACTAGGCCGACTTGCACTGCAGCCTTCTTACTTTTCACCACATGCACAATGGACCGGACCAACACGGCAAAACTCGTTTTACTTTTAAGTTTTATTTGTAAAAAACAAATATGTAAATTTGTAGGCAACAACAGGCCTAGTTCTTTTTGCTTTAGAATCGAGAAAACCTGTTACCAAAAGTCTTGTTAAACAAGTAAAGATTAGCCACTACAAACCTGAAGTTTTTCCGCAGAACTTGATAAGTGTGGGCGAGACGTACACGGCGCCGCCGCCTCCATTGTGTCATCTGTCATGGCGGCGCATAGCAACGCGTCCTGGATACGAGTGGTTAGTGGCAAACTATAGGTACCATTTGGTACAAAATATTACGATGATTCCACAAATCTGTTTACGATGACATGCGACGCAACTCAAAAAAGTGAAACCGCACAACGTACGTCACAATGAGATGGTTTTGATCGACGCTGGCAAATCCTGTAAAAAGGTGTAAAATGTACTTCTAAGATGTAGTTTCGAACAACACGACTGCAAAGAAGTAACCTGAAAAATGTAACATTTCCCAGTGCACAAGGTTGGATATATTGTACAGTTTGACCAATGGGTTCCAAATGACGAATGTGATATTCCTAGGAGTTTGCCGACAGAGTACTGTAACACACTGACTGACTAAACAACACGTTGACTTGGACGAAAGAAATGTGACCAGGAGACAGCGCCTCATTTTTTTTTTTACCTTTAATCCTCAACAAATCATTAATAGGTCAATCACATTATAACAATAATTGCTGATTTTTTTTATCACTGATTCACCCTAATTCAAGCAGGGTAGCTGTTTTTCAAGGGAGCTTCGGGCCCGGCCTTTTTGGAAGTTCCGCAGAGCACAACCGTTCCGCTCCAAGCCAGCACAACAACAACCTTTTCGCGTGCGCGCGTTACCAAACTGATTACATTATCTGCGCTGCTAATCTGCGCATGCGCGCCCGGCCCTACTCTCCGGCAGGACAGCGCCACATGTGATAATTGCTACATCACAACGTGTAGAAAAGCTAAGTTCTCCTCAGGCATTACTTTCCCAGGACATATTCAGTAGTGGTGTTCATGACAAGGCTGCCTTCGTTGAAGATTTCCACAATCTTGCGCCGACGGACTTCCCGGGAATCAGCCGGCCCTTCCAAGACGGTCTCCGTGGTGACCTGGCGTAAGGGTTATACCCATTTCACGTGGCTTTACTTCTTTGGTGATGCAACTCCGAAGTGCATCTCGTTGGCTGTCGGATGCAGGTCCAGCGTCGGAGGCGTTTTCTGGATCTCTGGGGTTTTGGGCACTTCGTTGGTCACACCAGCTCGTTCAGGGGTTCAGAGGTCTCGCTGTTTGTTGTGGGTCGATTCTTCCTGCATTTGTGGCGCATGGTGCCTCTTCAAGTCGTCAGCGTCATCACGAAGTAGCGTTAACCTCCTGATGCGGCAAATTTAAAATTCGTAGAAGCTGAACGTTTTTGGTAAAGTTGATTTTGACTGCTTTTAATAGATGAAATATTTTGATTTGATGTAGAGTGGAAAGGTATGGACTAAAATATGTATATTCACCAAAAAAATTAGCGCCCACAAAGTGTTACTTCGTGGAAATTTGAAAGCTGGGAGGTTACTTCAATTTCTCCGTGCGTAAAGGTTTGTGCTACTTCGTGAAAACGCAGAATCCGGTTTATAGCTTTACGGCACAGCGGGTATTAACAGAAGTATTGGGCTGAAACGAAAATAAAATCGAATTGTGTTTCTACTTTAGAAAACCGCTATAGTATAACTTAACAAGGCACACGTCTCAAAATGTGTTGGGTGGGGGAGGGGGAAGGGGGGATGGGCAATCATGTTTTATCATAATAGCATGTAAATAATGCTCATGTAACACGTGACGTGTGCAGTAATCTATTTTTATAACACTTTCAACATTGAATCCACCGATTTAAAGAAACTAAGCCTGCCTTTATTTATGGGAAAGTTTATTTGGTATGAGTTACACCAAAA